AACCACGAGGAAGTAAACCAACATTTAAACATAAATCAAGGCTTAGTCTGGTGAGGACCAATTTCAAAATTAAAAAAGGTTTAAAGTTATTGCTGAATTTTGATCTTAAATAGCGTTAAAATATAATATTAATTCATAATAATAATAATAAATGAATAAATTAACCATCTAGCATATTTCGAGTAGGACAAAAAATAAAAAATTAGAAAAATATCGCAAGCACATAACTCCAAGGTTTCGAATTATAATTAAAATTAAACTTGGGACACTTGAAAATAATAGTAAAATAAAACGCCAATCAAGGGGCGAGTAATAATATAAACTTAAGAAAAAGAGTGATTGTTAAATTTAAATATTATATGACGATGAAATGAAAATTATTGTTAAATAATAATTCTTAGATGAGTCTACAGTCTATTTCTCCCGTGAATTGAGTCCTTGGGGTTCCAATGTTCCGAATTTGTTGATGTATGCTTCTACTGTTTGGCGATAGCCCTGGTCTCTGAATAGTTTTTTTATTCCAGTTACTGAAAAGTCACTTATTGAATTTCCCAGTTTGTTGAAGTGTTCTCCCACTACTAAATCATATTTCCTTTTCGTAATACTTCTCAGATGTTCTGTTATACGATATCTTAACGACCTTCCGGTCTCGCCGATATACTGCATCCCACATTTCTTACAGTTTATTAGATAAATAACATTTTTTGATTTACAACTTATTCTTTCGTTAATGTTTATATGGACTCCCGTCACGTTCCCGATACTTATTTTTGTTTCTTCGGAATATTTACAGGTGGTGCATGCTTTTCTATTACATTTATAAAAACCAGATTGTACTTTCTGTGATATTACTGGTTGTAGTTTAGCTCTAACCAGTCTATCGCGTAATGTAGGGCATTTTCTATATGCAATTTTCGGAGGTTGAGGGAAAATCTCTTTTAGTCGTGCATTGTTGTCAAGAATATATTGGTAGTCCGAAAATATTTTTCTAAAGTGCGGTTGGTTTGGGTGGTAGTTGTTAATAAATGGCAATAGTTGCTGACCTTGTTTTGTACTTTTCGGTGTTAAAAGGTAATCTCTGTTCATTTCTGTTACCAATGTTATTGTTTTGTCAATAGAAGTCTCTTCGTAATTTCGTTGCATGAGATAGCGTTTCATAATTCCTGCATGCTTGTCAAAAAATTCGACATTTGAGCACGATCTTCTTATTCTTATGAAGAGTCCCTTTGGAATGTTTGCAGTAATATGTTTGGGGTGGCATGAGGAGGGTAAAAGATATTGGTGAGAGTCCGTGTCTTTAGTGTAAATTTCCGTTTCCAATTTGTTGTCCATGATATGGACTTTTACGTCTAAAAATGTAATGTTTTCCGTTGAGTATTCGAATGTGAACTTGATAGAAGGGTGTATTGAATTCGCATGGTTTATAAAAGATATAAGCTCGGTTTCGCCGTGTGTCCAGATCAGAAAACAGTCATCGATGTATCTATAGTAGTATTGTGGCCTAATCTTGGCTGTTTCTAGAATCTCAGACTCTAAGTCTGCCATAAATATGTTTGCATATTTGGGAGCCATCTTAGTTCCCATCGCTGTCCCATTGATTTGGAGATAATGCTTTCCGTCAAATACAAAATTATTATTATCAAGAACCATATATATTAACTTAAAATTAATTATAACTTATATTATAATTATAATTCATATTAACTGCAAATTAATCAAACATTTTTTTGCCTTTGCGAATGAAAGTGTTGTCTAAGTTATTATCGGCACGTGAGGAATTATTATAAATGAAAAGAAAAAGAATTTAGCAAACTATCGTAGACTCAATTTATTTGATTCGTTTGTTGTATACTGAGTTCTTCTATAGCAGGGGTCGGCAACCCACGGAGTAAAATAATCCGGCCCGCGACGCTTCCCTGAACTATACCGACAAAACGGCTGTTTTCGCGATTATATTCTTTACGTAACAGAATTTATTGTGAGACACGTGTGGACTTTACTTTATTATAGCCAAACAATTTGTGATGAGATTACAATGTAATTATAATTAGATGTCAAATGTCATTGGCCTTCTTGATTTTTATTTCCGGCAAGAAATATTGTGGAAAATTCATTCCATATTCAATGAATTGTAGAACTGCTGATGTGCGGCGGTACATGTTTCATCACTAAAAGGACATTGTGAGTACCAAAGATTCTACCAGCTTGAATTACACAGATCCTCCGCAGATAATTACTGTGTTTAAAAATTGATAATTGAACAGAAAAAGGAGTGAAGAGTGAATTAACAAGTGTTTAAACTTTCTTTCTTATTCATGCATTGTCACTTCTATTAAAGTTTCCCCAACCAAAGCGAAGATTTGGGACCCAATTTGAGCAACGTGTCTAAAATGACGTCACTCAGCCAATAGAAAGAGGCGGGATACGAAGTTACCAATTATCTCGTTGGAATTACATTCAACCAACAAGTTGAATTGCAAAAACTTTTTATTATTTAGGTGAATGGGAACGTTTAGGGTCCATTTAGAATTTTATAATTCTCTCCGGGAAAGGAAAGTTGATGGATGTGATTTTAATCACCGGCATCTGATGCGGTGTTGGGTATGACAACACTTCGCCCTTCACACACGTGTGGGTTGCGAAGGCGTCTGATACCGAATTCCGCACCAGTAAAGCCTATGGCATACGATTGTATTAATCTTGGTTCGAATGTTTAATGTATTTTGTTCATAAACATATTTTATTTATTCCATTCAATAGAAAAAATAAATTGTATGAATACTAGGGCTGGGAATGGTTAACCGGTTAAACGATTTCATATGGTTAACGGTTATGATTTTACTTTAACCGTTGACTGACATCTCAGGTACAAATCATCTTTATACCGTACAATTTTGTCAAATATGATTACGTCATCGCAAATTTATCTCTTGCGGCGTTCAATTCAAAAAAATATTACTACCTGTGTAGGTGAGGACTCAATAAATGTGAAAAATAATGGAAGCACCAAGGTTGCTGATAATGAAAATTTACAATGATGAATTCACAATCAGTTTTCGGTCGATTTCGAAATATATTGTTCACGATTTCATTGCAATATCGGATATTCAATGTCATACAACAAGTGTGCAGTTGATGCCGTTTTTCTTTATGATATATATCTCGAAGCAGAATTTGCACATAGAACACTCAAAATTTGTCACATAAATGACGTTTAACAACGGAATCGGGTTTTCTAAAATATTTCCACATGCCCGAACCACGCTGCCTATCTTTTGCAGCAGAGGAATCATGAAACTATCTCGATTCGTGAAAAATTTTGAGCGATACCGAGATAACAACACGCGAAATTGCTTTATAACCATTGTGACGTAACAAGCTAAAATTATAATTATTACGTCAAACGTCACGCGGCGGTTAACCGGTTAATTTTACCCGGTTAACGGTCAAAGTGTTTTCCCTAAAATTCCCAGCCCTAATAGATACACGGTTTTCATTACAGTTATCTTTTGCAATGTATGAACACGTTGCACCTGCGTTCTGTCTTAAAAGTTTTATTTATTGGACACGAAATGGACATAACGATCGTTTCAAAATTTTGTTGTTATTGTTATTTGTCTCCGTCTCCATTTTTAAAAAATCGCTTTTCTCTTTGAATACTGGACCAATTGCTTTGAAATTTTCAGTGGTTGAAGATAAAATTTTTCTCCAGAAGGCTATTACTTTTTTTTTCGCCATGACGTCATCAAAATTATTGCCATTGGGTGGCGCTACGTGTCCATATATTTGAGCATAGCTCTCTTGTTGATTACTTGGATTTCGAGACGAATAAATAATAATCCAAGAAACTGCTAAACTATTCCCAATACCCGTCTCGCGCGGCCATGCTTGAAACGATAGAATAGTTTTACCTGGAAGGAGAAAGCCGATGAGACGGCTTGATCATATGGCGTACCACGGCGTCTTAGTCCGGTTACCAGTCCAAGTCGGGTATGAGATTGATTAACTAGTTATTAGCTTCAAATGACGTAAACGCGAATCACCCTAATAAGGGTATGGAATTCTTTTCTGTTTGAAATGGAAAAATTTTCATTGATAAAATGCATGAACTTGGACGGGAATGACTCTGCGAGTGAGAGGATTCCGCCAATCCTTTCGCGTATATTTACCTCCTATTTGTGGATGATAAAATAACCAAATTGGGATCCCCTCGACTTTTCCACCAAGAAAAATTGTGTGTACACTTAGGATAGGATTTATATATTTATCCTGGGGGAGAGGAAAACCGATAAGACGGCTTAATCATATGGCGAACCACGGCTTATCGTCCGGTTACCAGTCCAGGTTGGGTATGGGATTAGTTAGCCAGTTATTTGTTTTCGGAAGCATGGACTTGATGGTGGAGGAAGCCGTAAGCGACCAGCGGTTACGTGAACCACCCTACGGCGGCGAGGAGTCCAGCAATCCTCTCGCACATGATCATCCCCGCATGGGATTCGAACCTGCAAACCCACGTGGCGAGCGTATTTCTAACGCTTAGCACGACGCGCCACACCGCCGAGCACACTTCTTCTCGCAAATTTGCATGTTATCGTTTCGGCCGGAGGATAAACTTCACTGGGGCCATGAACCAAACCTGCGGATTTACAAAGGGAACTCTGGTGCAAAGGCAACCGCCGCCGAGCCAAAAATTGTCGAATAACTTGTTAAAATATCACCAAAATCACACTCAGTCAATGAAGTAAAAAAATATAATTTTATTCTTATTGCAAAGTTTTGTGATATAACATTTTATATAAATCAACATAAAAAAACACCTGAAGAAATTGAAAAATTACTATTGGCCCCTGGAGTTTTGAAATTGTCATTGGAAAGTAGGATTTTAAATTAGCATGAAAACAGTGTAGAATGAATTAAAATGAATATTATACATAAAGACTTATATGTCTATTGTTAAGCGCAATTACAGACTACAAGGCACTAATATACAAAAAACTCCTTTAGTTTTGAAATTGTCATTGGAAAGTAGGATTTTAAATTAGCATGAAAACAGTGTAGAATGAATTAAAATGAATATTATACATAAAGACTTATATGTCTATTGTTAAGCGCAATTACAGACTACAAGGCACTAATATACAAATTTCAGAATAAATAGATTTAAAAGGTTTAAGCAATGTTTTTTTTTTTTTGCCGAAAAACAAGTCTTTGTGATAAAATCAGTTAGACTTATATCAGGGTTATTGTACACTCCTAAATAATGCATTTTTTCAAAAATAAAAAAGTACTTCAAAAACCTAACTGTTTTTAACACAAATACTTGTTTTACAGCAAAATACTTATGCGGCGAAATATCCTGCGGCGAATTTTTTCAGAACCATTTTAACCAGCAGTCCACCACCATCATTTTATCATCTATTGAAAACGTCTTTATAGCACCTCAGACGTTTTCAAAGGGGCAAGTTCTGACAATGGTGACATATTCAAGGCACAGTTTCTTGACTTTCATACTTGTAACATTTATCATTTTCGTTTGATAACAGCAGCAATTCTTCGTCTTACACTTTCAACCGATTCCTCAGATTTGGCTGATGATGGAGCTTTCGGAATTTGTCGTGTCGAAGTTGGACTACTATGGTTTGAAAACGAAATATCTCTGACAGAAATGTCACCGTTTGAAACATTTTGCATTTCATAAGATCCTCTCTTTGCAGGGATGTGCTTTGAAAGAAGATTTGGCAATGCTGACGTCTTCGTATTGTTCATAAAGTCACCTGTCATATCTAGATTTTTTACTGTATTTGGTGATAACCCAGATCTTTGTGTCAAATCCCGCAATGGCATCCCATTTACCGCAGAAACAGGAGTTCGTAGCTTCGGTGATACAGACTGTTTGAAACGAGAAGTATAGTTTTTTCTGTTATACCTATAAGTACTAACTGATTTGACTTACTCAAGTGATCATTTGCAACAACTGAAATGAGTGATCCAAATGAAATGACTCGACAAACCACCAAAAAAACTCGGAAGATAGTTTTATATTTGAGTGAGTTTTTTGAGTATATCAGTCAGTCAGGTGATTTACCACAACGATTGAAGTGGCATTTAAAAAACTTGAAATAGACAGTCTTGATTCCAAGGTAGATGTTGACAGTGCATGTCCAAATAGCTAAGTTTTGAGTCTTAATGTGACTGATATTTATCAATTTCACTGTTATTTATGAAATGACTTGGCTTGAATAAAGATGAGGTTTAGGGATTTTTACTCAATAATGCCAATAACCACTATGAAGCCACCATATCCACAAATTAACTATCTATACCCTATATCACTTTTTGACAGACACCATATAAAATGAAATCAGAACAATAAAAATAGTAACAAAATATATCAGCAAGAAATGGTAAGTCACATATGTATCTATAGATAAATGGCTAAATCATGCTAAAGTATAAAACTATAGAGCAATTATTAACTGGTTTACACCAATGAATGTGTGAATAGTTAAATTCTATTGTGGTGATACAGAACTGCAATATTGAAATAGATAATAGAGTCACTCACAAAAAGTACTACTTACATTCGATGAAACATTTTTCAGTTGTTCACGAAGAGTACTCAATGCTTCCGTTAATTCAAATCTTTCTTCACATTCTCTTCGTACGGTTTCTTGTAGTACTGATACCTTGTAAAAAAAAGTTTGTTCAAAATTTCTACACCCAAATGACAATACCAGAGTCAAAGCTAGATTACATATTCAATGAATTGTTAATAAGTTAAATACATTACATCTTTAACACAGATACCTCTTCTTTCAGAGAAAAAATTTCTGTTTGAATTGACGATTTTTCGTTGTTAACATCTTCAATTTTTCTTTTCAATTCTTTTGTTTCCATTCTTAAACTAATTGTTATTCCTTCATGTTCTCCTGTCAAAGAAGTAATTTTTTCTTCCAACTGCGCGATAATCTTTTTTAGGTTGGTTTTCTCTAAAAAAAAAATCAGGTTGCCAAATATGTTCTTTAATTGTACGTTACATTCACAGATTTAAATATGGGAAACTGGGAATGTTACAATTTATTGTGACATACATCAGAATTTGTTTTTTACATGTTGTTACATGGTGCAGTATATGTGTAATAAGAAAGCAACAGGTTAGGTTATCTATGGAGGGAGAAAGGATAATGAGGTAGCTTAATCATATGATAAACCACAGCTTTTTGTCCAGTTGCCAGGTCATGAAAAGTTCGAGAATAGTTACTGAATTTTAGTTCAGATGCATATGGACTTGATGGTGGAGTGGGTCGTAATGGCCAGCGGTTACATTAATCGTCCTAATACAGAAAAAAGTTTAGCAATCTTCTTGCGCAAAATTATATCTGATGTGGTTCTAACATACAAACCTGTGCAAGGTAATAAGATTTGTGATAATGAGCCTGTTTTGGAAGATGGCAACAGGTGGCATTAAATATTACCATAATAACTTAATAGTGTGAAGATAGCAATATATGCACAATTATTTAATATCATCATGTCTGCGAACAATGTTACCTTTGTCTTGTTCTGCCATTGCCTGTGTGTGATCACTTAGTAATGAGTCGATACGTTGTTCCAAAATACGAGATTCATTTTCTTGATATCGAAGGTCTCTGTTTTTATCGGATTCACTCTAATAATGCAGTTAACAAATAATTTGAGTTCATTGAAATATGGAAACAATTCGATAATTCGAACTGCATACAAACTTTTTATCGCTCTAGACCAGTGGTTCTTAAACTTTTTCGAGTGCGACCCAAATCTGAGTTTTATGAATACTCGCGACCCAATCCTAAAAAACGCAAAATGTGTTTTTAATGTTAGTACAGTCTGACTCAAATACAGACAACTATTTATTAGAAACAGTCCATTGACTCAGTGAGATTGATGAAACTGAAATTTCCTTTTTCATTATATCTTCAATACACAGCTCTATTTTACTTAACGCAATACGCAAGTTGTCACGGGTATCGAAAGCGATTGCGAGCTTAGTTTTGATAACCGTCAGTGCCAAATATCCTCGCTCGCACAAGTGCCTTGTCGCGAATTGTAGCAGAAAAGGCGTCCGCTGTCCGTCGCAAACACGACATCCTAGCTGGCCTTCGGTATCTCTCGCAATATACAACTTTTTACTCGTCACATGTGCACGCACTGCTTCGTTCGCGGTAAATGGTGCCTCGAGATGAAGTCACATTTTCTCTAGATATTGAATAATCTAATGTCGAGAAGCGAGCTTTTTCATTGCGTCGTCTATTACAATTTTCATTACCAAAAAGACACCCATTTTTGGTTATTTTAATCCACTAAGACGACATTTCATGCGGTCAACACAACGACAAGCGACGTGCATGGTTACCGATACCATAAAAATAATACACGTGACTGGCATATCAGAATTGTGATGTAACAATGAGCTCAAGACAGTTCTTTCCGTGAATGAAATTTTTTATTTCATTATTTTTAAATACCAGAGTTTAGAAGCTAAATTGTAACATTGGGAAAGCTGAAAATTCGTCCTTCTCCTCTTAGATTGCCCTTGCATTGACGACCTTGTCGCGACCCATTTTTAAACCTTCCGCGACCCATGTTTGGGTCGCGACCCATACTTTAAGAACCACTGCTCTAGACACTAGCCAGCATTGAAATATAGTTATTTATATGACATCATAATGTAAAAAGATGCCACAATACCTCTTGAAGGTACATACGTCACGACCAAATTCCCACCCTTCAGTATAGTATCGGCTATAGATCTCTATTCGGATTATGTCACAGAAATTTTGGTACTCCTGAAGTATGGGAACCAAGATGGTGGACACCGGCCTAACCGTAACCTGGTACACATACTACGTTCTGGTGTCCGCCATCTTGGTTCACATACTTTGGGAGAAGCAAAATTTTAAAACAAATTGCCAAGGTATGAATAAAAATGATTGTAGGTTACCTGTTCATGTATCTCTTTAAATTTTTGAGAATAATTTCTTATTTCTTCTTCATGCTTTTCACGTAATAATTCTATTTCAATCGCATGATTTTCTTGTAAATGAATTTCTAATTCTTTCATTTCATTTTCATGAGATGATTTCATTATTTGAATTCTTCGTTCCATCTAAAAAAATACAAGTAGATTTAGCAAGAGTAGTCCTAGGGTCCTCAAAGGCATTGTAAAACCAAATTAAAGTGAGAATCTTCCAGGACAGCAACTATTAATTTGTGTTATCGGCACTATTCTAGGATAAACTTCCATTATTAACTACTGGAAATTTCGGTACTCCCATAGTGTGTTTACCAGGTTAGGGTTAGGCCATAATTTTATCCCAATTTTCCCTATTTTAGTTCTATTACGAGTTTGGGGACTGTATATGTTAGCTAAGTGAATATAGCCTACCCCCTGCCCAAAGGTTCCAGTCTCTTTACACAACTTGATGTAAAGTAGGCGAACAAAATTAGTTTAACTCCATATTGGTACACATACTTCTGGAGCGCTAATATTTCACAAGATCCAAACAAAAGCAATTTTATTTTTTCAACAATACCAGCAACAAGCATTTCCAAAATAAGTATGTAGATCTTTGAATCCAAACACAACAAAAGTATACGAGCACATGCAAAACTTACTTCTTGTGGATTTCCGTGAGCTTCATTCAACTTTTCTCTAAAACTATCTCGTAATTGCATAATTTGGTTTTGATGTGACATTACCATTTGCTCTCTAGAATAAAAACAATATCTGTTAATTTTATGCCGGTTTTCCATGTAGCTGGTTTTTCAATGGCTGCCACTTGTTCCATATCCCATGTCGATCACCACGTACAGAGTAGATACTCTGCAATCCTCTTCAGGTGTTAATGATCACCTAATGAAGCAGTTCCTATTCCTAAACTGTGTGTCACATGTTACAAAATATTAATACATTTGTTGCAAAATCATTTTTCATTTGTCCGCATTTAAAACTACCGTAGTTTTAAGAAGTTAAGCATATTTAAATTTAATTTTGAGAGAGAAGTACTACTATCAGACATTCAGATCGTTTATGTGGACAAAAACAAGCTAAATTATTTCATCGATATGGATGTGCAACAAAATGTAACGTTGATAAAGTTTAATTTTCGTTCCAGTGTGTCATGAGCATGAAATGTTTTTAAATCTACAACTTGAGTTGTGTCATTGTCTTCATATATATGATAGGTCCCTATTAGACACATTTTTAAGCTTATTCAATATTTTGTTTGCTTTACTGAACTGAACAAAGCTGTCAAAATGTACCAATATAGATCTTCTATTAGACTCAACTTTTAGTTTAGGCTCGATTTTGGGTTCTTCCGTAGTGTGTGTAGTACCAGGTTGGGGTTAGGCCATAATTTCATTCCGATTTTCCTTATTTTAGTTCTATTGTGAGCTCGGGGACTGTTGTGTTAGCCAAGTGAATATAACCCCTATCAATTGGTTTCAGTCCCTTTACACAACTTGATGTAAAATAGGCAATCAAAATTAGTTACCTCCATATTCTTACACACACTTCTGGATTGCCGATTCTGAGCAAAATAAAACCAACCTTTCGCTTTTCAAAGAATCTAATTCTCGTTTCGCATCTTGTAAAGCATCACATAACTGTCGACTTTCCCCAGAACTTGCATTCATTTGAGATTGCAATTCATCTTGTTGTTTTTTCAGATTTTCTTCGATTGATTTCCAACGATTTCTTTCCTTATTTAAGGCAATTAATTCTTGCTCTAGATGTCTGATTTCTTGATTCATTCTGAAACATATAATATTTAACTTGTGCGAAAAGTTTTTTCCAACAACTGCATCTATGTGGAATTCAATCATAATAATTATGTTCCTGATTGAATATTGTGTCAATCTAGTTTTACTGGTGGGTAATATATAGTTTAAGTAACATTTAACATTTTAGTGGACATGCATTACTTTTTTGAGGATAAATCTCCTTCACTTCTGAGTGAGTGCATTTTCAAACATTTGATGATTTCAGAATCAAATCTCGATTACTTTTAAGTATTGACTGTTTTATTGTAATGGGTTCTTCAGAACATGAATTAGTGATAACACGTAATCTATCACCAGACAGTTTGCTGAGTGTTCACACACAGTAACTCACTCAGAAGAAAAAGTCATATTTATGTTAGAATTTTTTTTTTAAATCTGACCTAGACAAAAAAATGAGGTATTTATCTCGACGTGCGGGCGAATGAATGAAAAAAAGCAAGATGGTGGCGATTCGAAATTCTAATCTAAACCGATTTGAATAATTTACTATTCTATTCAAAATGCCCAGCACTACACACGACCTTGCTTGGTCTTAAAAACTGTCAACTCAATATAACGAAGTTGATACGCGCAAATCAAATCTTCAATTCCGATATGCATTTATAATAGTAATACAATCATGTATCAAATCCGGGGAAAAGAGAACACACAGTTTCACTAGGAAGGGGAGCAACATAAATCAATCTTGGTTATCAAGCAGCGGCACACAAGGTTCTAATATTTAATTAAGATTTAAACGATTAGAAAATTTCATTTTCAGAGTGTGGTAGGTGTTAGGTTTGAAACATATTTGTTCGTTCTATTCTTTTCTACCTTTGTGTTGTCATTTCAGCACTCTTTTCTGTTTTATGAAGTTTCTGCATCAGGGACTGAACTTCTTGTTGCTTTTTGCTAAAATAATTTAATAATAATGATAAATATAATAACAAAATATATAATAAATATATACAATATAAATATGAAATTAATAATTGAGGTGGCATTCGACCTTTGACTTTCGTCATTTGACCTTCGTGTTTATACATTTTAGCATTGCTAAGCTGTTATGCTATATCACATCAAAAACTAATTGAATCTTTCTTTTTTCTATACTAGCTGGTATTTAATCCTGGTTTATTATGTCGGGTGAAATTTGATTCAATAATTAAGTATTATTCTGTTTTAATTGAGAACATGATACCAACACGAGAATGTCCATAGCGTCACTGGCTCACTGCGACATCATAAACCGAATACTAAGTTGGTTTTACAGAAAGTGAAATGAAAAAAGTTATCTCATCCGACTTTAACAATTCATATTGAACCCATTTCATACGGTTGGTAATCGGGATTAAGTAATAATGGGACTAACGGCAAGCATATTTTCATTAACACCAATAGTCTCTGTCGTGTACTACCTTTCCCACAGAAAACTTAAAAAAAACTCTGGACTGTTCCAAGATTCATATATTTCGTATCATTTTGCTAGGCGAAAATCATTGGAGGAATACTAATTCAATACAATTAGTACCCAGGCTGGTCAATTGCTTCTGGTTAGAAAGCCCACATTGTGTATGTACATGCAAAATTAGACAGAATTTTAGTGCATTTAATTACTTACTTAAAAGCTTCTTTCATCTGAGTCGAATCAGATTTTACAATACCAAGCTGTGATTGAAGTGTAGCTACATCTTGTATTAGCTCTGAATAGAGAAAATAGGTATTACTTAGAATAAGGTAACTATTGAAATAACTATTAAAAAACAATACAGGCAATTAGGGTAACGTTTTCAATAACTGACAATAAAAAAATTTGGGACCTCCAGAAGTATGCGCACCAAGATGGCGCATGACCTGAAATCAGGTTGTGTACCAGGTTAGAGTTCAGGTTATGCGACATCTTGGTGCGCATACTTCAGGAGTACCAAAATTTAATACACAGATGGTACATTGTATTCAGAGTCAATTAAATTCTGAATCATTCGTTACTGCCATAATGTGTTTGCTATTTACAGCATATATCCCAAAGTAGATATTTATATTAGTGAATCAAGTGGGTGACAATGCAGAAGAATTTCCACATTTCTTGCTATGACATGGTGATGCATGGAAATACTACTAATAAAGCTTCCCCTGGAACCTGGGAAAGTGGTTTAATTTTAGTATAGTTGAACTGATTGCCAGACAAAAATGATTGCTGTCTGGTTGGCTATCCTCTCCCTTAGAGCAAAAATATATGAAAAGAAACATAACTCAATAGTTTTGCACAAAATTTTGAAATTCACATTGAACAAACAATGTCAGCCAACTGTTTATTTATGAAGACTGAATAAAGCACAAGAACTACATATTCTCAGTTACCTGTATTTTTATTTTGTGCAGTTAAAAATTGATTTTGTAATTTTTCATTTTCGTCAGTGAGGTCATTAGAAATTGATTTTTTAGCTTTATTTAACTCTTCCAACTCGTTTTGCAATAATTTTATTGTATTTTGTAAAAGATCTTCATTTTTAATCTTATTTGAAAGTTCTTCTTTCAGTGTTAAACATTGTCTTTCCAATCCATCACTTTCTGCATTAAAAAAAAAGTGTTGCATACTTTGAATATCAATTTTAAACGCAGATTCAATTTATTTTTTCTCAATTAATATTACTTAGAGTTAACTGAGTATAGTGACAGCATCGAATTCAATCAAATGAAATTTAAAAAACCTGCATTTTAAAATTTTTGTAAATTTATTGGACAGATTTGAAAAAAATAAATCATAGATTTATACACAAAAAAGGCTACAGCAAGGCATGAGACACTACCATTCATAGGAATAATAAATATTATTTTTGAGTCCGCTTGGCAATAAAATAGTCATCAAAAATCTCATTGATACTTACTCGAAAGAAAATTAGTTTTGAATGTTTCAATATCTTTATTAACTTTTGAAATATATGAAGAAAATTCTGAATTCATAGGTTGTACACTTTGTTTGAAATTTGTCAAATCACTTCTGAAGACTTTTGCTTCATCCATTAGTGATTTGATACAAACTTGAACTTTCTCTTTATGGTTCCTGAACGATATTGATTAGTCAAGTCAAGTCAAGGTTATTTTTTCCAACCAGTAAAAAAGCCAGTTTTAGACAAAATACAAAGAAAAAAGATAATCACACACATCAAGCAGCGACACCCAAGGATCTAATGTCTAATTAAAAAGATCGGGAAGTTTAGTTTCGTAACTACTGTTTATTATATATGTAGGCCTATGTGTAAAACAATTTTTATCACATAGACAGCACACATGTTGATTCACGCTATGATTAAAATGAGATCGATCACAAATTCAAAAATAAATCCTATGTAAACTAAAATATTTTCATCAAAAATGACATATCAAAGTTAAAAATGTATTGAGAACATATAATAGGCCGTGAGGGTAACTTCATTGCCTTCAACTGTTTTGGTATTGTAGGTGAAAGATCTTTGGTTTACCAAAAACCATGTCCACTCCTTCAATCAGTGAGTAATAAATTGGGTAGCCTAAGCAATGTCAAATCGGATAGATTAGAGATTTTGGTACACCCATAGTATATGTACCAGGTTAGGGTTAGACCATAATTTCATTCCATTTTTCCAAGCTCTCCGGTTGAACTGAGAATATTTTAGTTTTATTACGAGTGAATATCTCCCTGTCCATAGGTTTCAGTCCCTTCATGCAACTGATGTGAAGTAGGCGAACAAAATTAGTTACCTCCATATTGGTACATACACTCCTGGAGCGGCCAGATTTTTACAAAAAAAGCTCTTTATCTATGGCTGCTTTTACAGAGCCTCGTTCTCAGTGAATGGCATGAAAAATGTAATAAAATACTAATATTTATAAAAAATATATGAAGTGTTTTAGATTTTACCTATAAGATGTTCTCAGTCGATTTTCTTGATTTACTAATGAAATTTTGTCTTTTTCTAACTCTTCTATTTTAGACGTTTGTTCCTCAATTACATGAGTCATTTTGTCAATCCTAAAAAATAAATAATTCAATCAAAAAATGTACATTGAAACATATTATTCACATATTTGAATCACAAATATATTTTCAATGTACTTTCTTAACAAGCTTGATTTACTTAATTGAGCACACTTTCATAAATGCAGCAAACTAATTTTTTAAGAGTCAGAGAAGACAAATGCACACTAACTACTCTAATAGATGTATACAAATTTATTCTGATGTGGGATTTCTTTTCGATTGCTCACTCAAAACGTAGCAAGCTGTTCATTGTCGATTGTTCAGGGTGATAATAGTATATATGCAAAATTCAACTACATATCAATTCATAGACATTTCTAGTGTTAGTTATTATTACTTACGTCAAATCTTTTTCTGTAATAACTGACTGCAAAGAATGAAAGCTGTCATTCACTTTTTTCAATTCAACTCTAAGTTTTTTCTCATTTTCTCGACTTGCTTTATATTGCAAAAGTTCTTTTTCAAGTTTTTCAACTTTTTCTTCTAATTTTTTGATTTCATGGTGGATGAGATAACTTACTCCACAGAATTGACAAACCGTCTCATCAGTTTTCATCTCCTGTGTGTCAATAAAAAAGGAGTGAATATATGTTCTATACCAGCGGTTCCCAAACTATGGTCGCGACCCACTGGTGGGCCGCAAAAGGATTCTTAGTGGGTCGTGAAAAGATGTAGAAAGCTTTGATTGAAATTTACTGGTTATTACGGTCGGTGGCGAATACGTAAATCTTCGAAAAAAAGTTTCCTCGAAAGTTTCTTTTTTACGATCTTCTCAAAAAAACAAAAATTTGCTACACAAAGAATTACCATGTGGCTTTCTTACGCATAGCAATTTTGTAAACTGTACAGCACTTCTTACCGTGTTTCCCCGAAACTTAGACAGGATTTAAATTTATTTTCTTTTGAAGTACAACACTATGTTCTTTTTGAAGAGGTCTTTTGTGTTCATTTATCAACAATAAAATTACATTGTAGAAAATCGCGAGATTTTTAATAAACATTATATAAAAACCGACATCGATTGTTTTTATTTGTATTTCCTATACAAAAATCAAGTGACAGATATCATAATTGTGATTGTGAGTTGTGACATCACACAATCTTGAATAGTGGTGTAATCTTCGCCTTACCTCAGGTCATTGAATCTCTCCCACACATTTTAAATTTATTTTAAGGGTAGGGTTCAAGCAAATTTTGAAATAAACTGCAACTTTCGAATTTTTTGGGTCTAAAACTATCTGAAATTGAAATAAATGTCGAGTCTATTATGAAAAGTAGCAAGAAACAAGCTCATCCTCTCACTAGCTTCACTGAAAATTTATTTTGAGAAAATAAATTTGTTTCCTCCATCAATGTTTCATTAATTTATTAAAGTTAAATGGGTTGCCATAAGCTGTGGTAATAAATAGTGGGGTCCCACTTTTGTTTGGGATATACTTTATTTCAAACATTGGAAACACACTAGTCATCATATGATTTGATGACCACTTGATTACTCAGCACTGGGTCGGTCTCTGCCACAATCAAATAATTGCATCTGAAACAAGTCCAGCATGGACTGGTAACTGGACAAAAGGCCATGTCTGTATAATTGATCCTGCCAGTTAGTGATCCTTTCCCCTGGATAAATGTGAAAATCCTAACAAGAAAACCTACATTAATGCTGTAATGAGCCATCCTATTCACTCCCCCCAAATAAATATGAAAATCCTGTTTCAGCTATATAACCAAACAGACAAACCTGAATTTCCTGAGGAAGTGGATGTTGTGGAGTATGACGCTCAACGATTGGAGACAATGACCTCCTGCTCGGTTTCATCTCGGTATCAATGATAGACATCTGTATCAAGTAGCTCAGTAAATAATATAACAATGTTACAGTTTCAAGCAACTGACCAATCAGAGATTTGATCCAGTGATATTATAGATACTGTACATATAACTAATCTATTAATATTTTATGACATAACATTTCTAGATAAATGATGAATAAATATAAGAATGCTGAATCATTGATACCACACATAGCATTCTATTGCAATTGCAAGCACAAAAGTGAGGAAATAATTGTAAAAATCTGAGAAAATGTAAAAGGCTCAATTTCTGCAATTAGAGCTCAATACCATCAAAGTCTCTCAGTACAGAAAAACAGTACAAACAATAGAAAGGGAAGAGTGACACAATGTACTAATATAGTGGCAAGTTTCACCTTGACCTCACCTGATTTAAAAACATTCAAACCAAAATGTCTCAATGCAGTATTGACTAAAAATAATTCCGAGATGTCATGACTAATTAAAAATTGAAGAAATTGAACAGTGTAGATTTTATGATTCCAGGACTAGCCAGCTAGCAAATCAAATGGCCATTGCAACCAAAATTTCTAATTTGAATAGCCTATATCCGTATATGGTTGCATACTATCCCACTTTAGAATAAGAATTCAAACATTTTCAAGTTGTGTGATATCACTTTTTTGTGTATAACTTTTTGAGGAAAAGAAATCAAAGTAGATTAAAATATCTAATGTGATACATTTATGATTTTAGTATCGGTAATCCGGTACCGTAACGTTAGAGCCTATGCACGGTATTTCTATTTTTACTGTTTAAATCAATCAATCCATCATTTTATTTCGATATTTCATTTAAAAACTCATACTGACTGATGTACTAAACTCCGAATATTCAATAAAGTCTACTATTGTACTAAGGAAATGGAATCCATGATGAAATGAAGATTTTTAATTCCGTAAATTCAGCTGATTTACGCATGAATGCTCTTGTTATGAAATACTGTTGTTGTCAAGGTAATCGTTACGCCGCATGACCGTTTGAAAGTGCTGGTAGGAGTTTTATTCCTGTAATTATTTGGAAGTGAATAATCGGATCAGAATCTCTAGCGCGGCAATCAGCCACGACAGCGAGTCCATCACAAGCTTTCAATCTACAAGACAAGGGTCCTCCTAACGTTAAATACAACGTGCCACTGTGACAGGTCTAAGTCATAGTCAAGTTTCTTAGTCAAAATTTCAAAGCAATTGGTCCAGTATTCGAAGAGAAAAGCGACTTTTTAAAAACGTGTCAAAGAACAAGAACAAGAACAAGAACAACAACAACAACATAATATTGAAACGATCGTTATGTCCACTACGTGTCCAAAAAATAAATAAATAAAATTCAACGCATACTTTTTCCCGGTGGAGGGAAGTCGTGGTGAACCAAATCTGGGTATGGAGCAGAGGCACTCAAAGTTCAATATCTGGTTCATCTCCAAATTTATAAGGTCGGAAATTACGTTTTTAGAACACTGTTGGGTATGGCCAAGGCAGCTGAATCACCGACAGCTTCCACTAGCAAATATAGCTGACAAGGAAGATCTCTTAAATGAGGCCCCATAGTCTACTCCAGTGATTCCCAAAGTGGGCGATATCGCCCCCCGGTGGGCGAAGACGATACAGAGGGGGGCGAAAAAGTCGAAGGGGGCGATAGGGCGGCGATTTCGAGAAACCTATTTTTGTTCGGCGCATCGTGCACTTGATTTCTGTATTCTGCGTGCTTTCGTAGGTTTGAATTACGTGGGCGATTATCACACGCGAAATGATTGCGTATCCAAGTGGTCGGCAAAATAGGGCCTGAGTGAAATAATCTGGCTAGAACGCTTCACTGAATGGAACTTTCCCCGACCTTTGACCCCGGAAAATTCTTCCTATACTTTACTATTTTAAAATTTTCGGTGCTTATTTTAAGAGCGGTTTCGCGAGTTGTGGCCTGTAAAATGGGGTATTTGTTTTAAACTATTATTCTAATTCATACCATTCCACAATCTGTTTTTCAAAAATACCGGTAAAGAATTTTAGCCTAGTCTACCACAGCTATTTCTACACTAATTTAACTAAAACTCCTAGGAAGATAATTGTGATCATTGACTTATATTTAAATTTCCGAAAAACAACTAAAAACTAACGAATATAATTCAAAAACGCAAAAATGAGGTAATGTTCACGACCACGCCTGAAAATCTGTCTGAGTGAGAAATGTGTCTGGGCGTTTATTTTTTTTATCTTGCGAACAATAATTTTCGAAAATGGACATTACAGAAAACAAGCAAAGAACTAGTATTAGTGATGCCCAATTAGAAAATGTTCAAATCTTAGCGTCGTAAAGCTTTCAAGCGTGATGCAGCAAAAAGGCGATGTCACATTTAATGTCATTGTAATAATTTTTCAATAAGACGACTGAGCTGTTCCGTTTTTAACTTTCAAAAATTATATATATGACCCGCAAAAGACTAGCAAACCTCAATTTTGTCCCGCGAGCGACATAAAATTTGCCGGCCCCTGGGCCGTAGCCGATAGTCGGTCACGGCTTCTCCCACATCCGAGTGCACGAATCCAAAACAAATGGCCGATTAATTATATGGACTGGGAATCGGACTGGAGGCCGTGGTAGGATAATGAATCGGGGATGTATTTTACCGAAGACCTGATATATCATGTATTTTAGTGCAGGTCATCAGGCTGTAGGAATGAATGAGATGTACGAAAATTATTATTATAAGTTTGGGGAAATTACCTTTGTTTTCATTATTTTAATGTGAGATGGGGTGAATTTAGGGAGTTGAATGCTAAATGCAAGGGTACACCGCGGTTGTTGAGGGGGTAGAACCGTGGATTTTTTCATTTCCGACCTCTTATATGGTGAAAAAGTGGCCATGCCGTGCTACTATTTCTATCAAAACAACGAAATCGCCTTTCCATCAGTAAACGGGGTAATTTTAGATATATATAATAAAAAAAACTCGCTGAAGAACACCAAGCTCATCCATCTCATTGAAAAACACTATGAACTATGATTCGTCTTCTTATTTGGTCTGTAATATATTTTTATTTCTGACTTTACATTTTTTTGTAGTGCCGGGGGGCGATGAAGTTGTATAAACTACCGTAGGGGGGCGATGGTACAAAAAGTTTGGGAATCACTGGTCTACTCTATAATGACTATACAAAAGCAAATTATATCATATACCTTTACGTTTGAACGTGATATTCGCACAAACTTCTATGGGAAAATCGTATAAACGATCGATACGGGATATTGCTCTAGAGAGAACTTTAATAAAATCGTGTTAGCATATTTATGAATCATTATGCAATTTCGATTATGCTAATGAGAGTGAAATTGTCCTTTTTAATAACAAAGGGGTTTTATTTGCATATATAAACGAACGCTTAGAGGACAACCGGTAATCTCAGAATTGCATCTTGGCGAAAACGTATTTTTTATCTGTGTTAAAAATACGAACGAATTGTATAAAATAAACAAAGTTGGCTTGAATCCACTGCGAAGAATAGATGCTTTTTATGGACTCTTGTCATTTTAGTCCTTTTTGCTGAGTTTACTTACCTATTCTGAAAATAGATAACTTGACTTTCTGTTAACTAAAACGGATTTAGTTTTTGTTTTGTTAGCAATGTGCTTTTGCATTAAATCATAATAATGCCAGATACATTTGCCATTGTTTCAAGTCTCTTGAGCTTGCTTTTTATATTGACGGTTTGTGTTGGACAGGAATACAGCTCGACTGGAAGACAGACAGTTTCACTTCCAGTGGGTAAGTTTTTTGAAATTGTTTTTAGAAGAATTGAACTATCCTACTTTGATGAAATTTGTTTAGTGAGGTGGTATGTTCTCTGTAAAACTTGCTGAAATTAATCCACGAATAATTACATAAATAGTCAATTTACACTTTTGTGCACAATACATCACTGTAAAGTCATTGAAATCATTTCTTTAAACTATCCAGGAACTATATTTCCAAAAAGCATACCCGAAGTCGAATCAGTTTTCAAGTTTGTTCTCCGAAATTATAACTCTCGAGCTCTGTCAACAGGAAATGTTTTCGGTTTCAATTCTCCCGTTCTGCGATTTCAAGCTTACCTACAAAACGCACAGCCCAACGACAGCTACGGTTTGGTGAAAGAATGTAAGATATGTTACTACTTATGTATTTACACTTTGTGGGAAGATATTAATATAAATTTCAAATAGGAATTTCATTTTGTAATATATTATTTATATATATAGAACACTCGTCGTGTCCAGGGCAGTGCCGACAAGCCTATGTAAATGAGCAGACGATAAAATATCATCGTCTCACGAAATTTTTATTTTTTGGTTGGTTTCCATGAAACTTGGGGTTACATTCCGCACGGCACTTTCGATCGAATACAATTTTTTACTTGCGACGTTAGGCTGCTGAAACTAATGGAAATGAATCGTGGCCTTGACTGCCACATGAATCAAGTCTTGGACGTGATGTCCACTAGTGGTTAATACCCACCGAACAAAACGACACAATAATATTTTTCTCAGAATTTTATAATATCGATATACAAATAATAAAATCTATATGAGACTGAATTTCTGCTATAGAGATTGTAATAGACATAGATTCGGATGGTATTGCAAGGAGCTTTGCGGGACATTAACGAATATTTAAGTTCATTTATTTCTTTTTGAAGTTTGCAATCACATCACGCAAGAAGCGTTTGTGGTACTTGGAAGATTTGAACAGAACACTGAAAATGTTGCCAAACGTTATTCAGAATCATTCAATATTCCATGGATCTCGACCGGGTATGTTATCAATACGATTTTTACGGCTTTTCGAGTGATTTTATTTCGAAATATTCATGATTTGTTTTATTTGTTACTGAACTATTTTGCACCCTTTTTTTTAAACAAACATGTATAATCGATAACCGATGTATACACCAGCGTACAGATAATCAGCTTTTGAAGCGTGTTTTTCAGATGATAATATTGTTATGAATATATTGCTTTTTAAAATTAACATTTTACAGAACGACACTGCCAGATCAATCCGAATATATAACGTCGTTGTACCCTCCACTTTCTCCAGCTTTACTTTCCCTGACAAACAAGTGGAATTGCAAGCATATCACTTATTTCTATGACATAACAGAAAGTAAGTTTCCTCGTGCTCGTTTTATATTACTCTTCCACGACAAATTGAACATTCCCGAATCTGGTTCACTGACGAATTCACGTAAATCGGTGACGGTGAAATTGTCTTTAGAATGTTGGTTGTATACACCTGGCTTGAGGTAGTAGGCTACAAAACGGAAAATAAATATTCAATTTTAGGTTTGATCAAAATTTAACTTCAGTCTAAGTTCGGATGTTTTTCTAGTTCATTTAGGCCTGAACCAGCTACTCGATTATTCACTGGAATATAAGTTCAGTGTGAAAGTGCGAAATATGAAAGGAAATCAAAATATTTTGCCGCATTTGAGAGAAATTGCTACTTCTGAAGAACACGTCCTTGTATTTGACGTCACAAAAAAATTATCGATAGCAATTTTAAATCAGGTAAACAAAAATTAGTGATTATGACTACCATAAATACCTAGTTCAAAATACAAAAAATATATAATCAATACAATTGCATCATTCGGACGTCACAATGCTAAGATAACCTCTGCATTCATACTGTGACTACGATTTCTACTTTGAAGTATATTGTTTTTTGACAAGAACCCTATTCTATACGAGAGTTAGGACATAAATAATAATCACCTAACTGTAAACTCATAAAGCTAACATTTCTCGTATTGATATTTTAGCTAGATTCTATTGGAATGCTGACTCCAGAATATCAATACATATTCACGGATTTGGTGAGTGCAATTCGACAAATAGTAAAATGAATTCGTAATTTGAGTGTTTTCATGTAGGATTAAAGCGATGATATTCTGAGATTGTTTCACAGCAACAGTGCTTGCATTTAATAGTTGCTCATTTATTTAGGGTGGTTTACGTGACCTCTGGTCGGTTACGGCTTCCTCTATCATCCAGTCCATGCTTCCAAAAAACAAATAACTGGCTAACTTTTCCTATACCCGACTTGGACTGATAACCGAACGAGAGGCCGTGGTTCGTCATATGATTAAGCCGTCTTATCGGCTTTCCTTCCCCCTGAGTTAAATATGTAAATCCTATTCTATCCTATTTTTCCATTCCAATATTTTAAAATTCAATTTTCATTATTTAAAATCAAATAAAACTTAATTCGACTGAATATAACACTGTTATCTTTACAGGCATTGGCTGAGGAAGATTTGATACGATACACAACAGCTGGAGCAAATATAACATTATTTTCAATAACCAATAAACAAACTCGGGAATTTCAAACCTTTCTTATAAATTATAAGAAAACCACAGGACTTAGTTCAAATACTGTGAGTATCCGCTATCACTTATATATATCTCCACTCTTGTACTGTACAGTTGAGACTAGTCAATCAGGAAACGTGTCACTGCATATAAAAATAACAACAAAACATTCGCAGTTTGTTACATAGAATTTTAGCTTTACTCATTATTGGACACAAAATGGACCTATGGATCGTTTTGTTATTACATTGTCGTTGATCATCATGTTGTTAGCACTCCCTTTTTTCTTCTCGTTGTGAAAAATCCCTTTTCTGATTAACTACTGAACCAATTGCTTCGGAACTTTCACTGGTTGAAGATTCTATTTTTCGCTAGAAGGATAATTTCTGTGGCCTCGTGAGATTCGTTTATTGAAATTGAAATATTTGTTCTTTATTTTCCTCAGTACGAAGGTGCTCTGATTTACGACGCTTTCAAGCTTTTGTATATTGGAATGAAGTCGATGTTGAACGACGGATATCCTGCACAAAATTTTATCAAAGGCAATCTGAATAAACGTCGCTGTCGAGAATTACCTTCAAAGGCATTCCAAACTGGAATGGACATAAATCAAGCATTCAAAAAGGTATTAGTATTAACAAAATGGCATGTGTAGTGGCTTATACATTTAAACATGCTGCAGAATCTATAGGATCATCCGCAGTTGATGGTAAAATTTTTATATCGTGACAATGGAATGAGACAAATTAAAAGATATAAGTATATCACTCATAAGCTATGACATTGGCACTATTCGAAATTATTCGTTAATTTCACTATATAGTTTCTTACATACTTTTTCTAGAAATTTCCTGATGTAATTGCGCTTACACGAATGTACAAAGTTGAAAGCAATCTGTGGAGTAAGAGTAATGCGTGTCACGTGAAAGTAAACACGAAATTACCATTTTAAACCATGTACTGTAGGAACTTCTCTGAATGATTGAAATTTTGCAATAAATATATCATCACGTCGATAACCTCGGATTAAAGTCGCCATTTTTACAGTTGTCTAATGCTGAGCATGGCTCGTGCATGTTGGTGACACAATAAACTGGAAAGAACAGTTGCAATCTACGCAAAAATTCTCATCAATACATGTATCAGATTACTCTTTTTTTTAAGTTAGTTATTGTTACAAATGCTATACACTATGGAATTAAATTTTATCCATTGTTATTTAGACGAAATTTCAAGGTGTCACCGGTCAAGTACAATTCGACAAATACGGACAGAGAGTAAATTATACGATACGAATATTATCAGTAGAAAGAACTGGGATTCAATCGACTGGATACTGGAAACACGACATAACATCAAATAAAACTCTTGGTTTTATTTATCTTAACAGAACCTTGGATCATGACAAAATATTGCAGAAGTACATGAACCAAACTATAATTGTAACAACGATTTTGGTTAGTCCAAATTACTTAATCCATATTCATATTCCAACTGACCTTGTAGATAAGGTGAAACTTAATTACCGAAAAAACTGTTCCTGTCCGCCTAAACGAGCCATCACTCGTTGTCTAAGGTTTATTTCTTATGACTTCTACGGTAAATCAATATTCAGGGCATGCATGTTCACCTAATATCGATCACGTAATTTTGGCAAAACTGGTTATATCGACAAGTTTGGCCTCCAAACGATGATAAATTACTAGGCACCACAGTTGATAAAACTTCAATCACATCACAGCAATTTGTTGCTTGAGACAACCATGTGTCATCGTATTCAATGTCTTTTTCGTGTATAATATATCTTTAACAACCGATGCTCAAATCGCCTTGTCCCATCATCCTCTTTCTAATATGCGTTAATTTGTAGGAGGAACCATACGTTTCACTTAAAAAAGAATGGAAATCATTCCAAGGAAACGAAAGATATGAAGGATTTTGCGTCGATTTATTAAACGAAATTAGCAAGATCGTCCCGATGCAATACAAACTACGACCTGTGTTAGATGGACAATATGGAAGTAAAAACGAAGAAACTGGAATTTGGAATGGAATGATTGGGGAAGTAAAGTATAACGTGAGTAATTTATTTTTCTCCATGTTACGAAATGTGCCAAGGACTAGATTTTACGTGGCGTTTATAATTGACTATGCAATTAACTTATTACTTATCGATTTTAATCGGTAAGTATGTTGATAGGTATTTGTCTGTCTATCTGTTTGTCTGTCTGTTTGTCTGTCTGATAGATGCACGCGATACCTCACAAAAACGTAATTGAATCTGCTCCAGATTTTGCATGTGCATTCATCATATGTCGGACCAGAAGCCTATTGATGTTGGATGAATTATGTCGTATAATTAGCGAGTTCTTAATTAATTAGTGATTGGACACAAGGTGTCACTATGGAGTGAGAGCGCTGTTTTGGGAGATCCCCTAACTTTCGATCGATAAGTTTTCGGTCTCTGACCGATATTCTCGTTTATTAATTAATTAATAACAAGAGAGCTATACTCAAATACATGGACACGAAGATCGAGTAACTAACCACGTTGTCACTCTGGAATAAAAAGTGTTCCCCCTTAATTAAAATAAAGGGCAAAATATCGTGTATCATGGGACTTTGAAAAAATAAAAGTAATAGCCCCCTAGCGACTTCAACCATTTCAAGACCTGAAAATTTAAAATCGAAAATAAAAATGAAAAAAAAATTTCGAAAACAACAAGACCATCTTAACAAATAATTTAGCGAAACGGCCTATAGGTCCATTTCGTGTCCATAGAATTAATACGTTGATTAGATAAACGCATTGTCGAAGATTTTCTATTAAATCAATCATATAGCTGATAATATATCATCTTCTAATTTCTATTTTCATTTTTAACAGGTGGCTCATATGGCAGTAGCACCTCTCACAATTACTTCTGCGAGAGAAGCAGTTGTTGATTTTACAAAACCATTCATGTCACTAGGAATCAGTATCATGATAAAGAAACCAGAGAAAGAAAAACCTCATATTTTCAGGTATTGTAGCCGTTAAATTGTATAAAGCATTTATGCATAAATCATTATTATGCATTATAAAGCATTTTGTTAGTTAGTAACTTGTCAAAAATGTTCATCACTGTACTCTCAAGGCTGCGAGAAGCCAATAACGGAAATTTCGAAACTTTCGTATCAGTTAAATTAGAACAGTTAAATTAGATGTGAGAACCTTGGGTGTCGCTGCTCGATAATCAGTTTTTGTTTTTTCGCGGCTTCCCTTCCCCAGTGAAACTGTAAATATCATTTTCTTATAGTTTGTGTACAATTTTAGATATTTGACTGGTTGGAATAAATAAACTTGAGGAGTTGATTTATTTGAATTAATATTCTCTTAATCGTTATACTTTCTTATACATTGACATAATATACGTGTTTAATATAATAATATTTCACCTTGGAATGCGATATTATTCTACTAAATTTTGTTACTTTTATTTATAGTTTTCTTGAACCGCTTGCGCCTGAAATCTGGATTTGCATTGTGTTTGCATACATTGGTGTTAGCGTTGTAATATTCATCATCTCAAGATTTAGTCCGTATGAATGGCACAGAGGTAAGGTTTAACATGAATCTGTGAGTAACAGGCGGGCCACAACCCGGCCCGCTGCCACTTAGAGTGGCCCTTGTACACACACAGATATTTTCCCATCGAGCAAATAATCCGACAGTTTATGTTTAAAAGTCGCTCACAAGGGTAAAAATACGTAATATTTCTCCCCCTTGTTGCTGCGTTGAATCTTTCGCCATTTGCGCGGTGTCTTTATTCCTGAAAGGCTATAAGCAATAGCATTCTCTTCTCCCTTGGCTATATGGCCCACCGACAAAATGTTGAACGCCCCTACTTTAATCTAATCATAGTCCAAAGCTATTATCAAACTGATTATTACTAGCAATAATGAAATATTACTTCAAAATAAAGTATGATTTTGATTCGATGGAACGTCATTTTCATTTTTTCTATTTTAAGCAAGTGTTTTGAGAACTAACGACGAAGAGGAAATCGAAAAGTCGGCTGATTTTGGAATTTTCAATAGTTTCTGGTTTTCTCTTGGTGCCATCATGCAACAAGGAGCTGACATTTCCCCGAAGTCTTTTTCTGGTAATCATATATACTTTTATAATGTCAAACTTAATGTCACTTTAATATTTCATAATGGGTGTTTTCTTTATATTTATGAGTTAAATATTCAATAATGTATATCATATCACCACACGTCGCCTGCTACAAACATCATACTTGGTTTGAAACAACAACAAAAAAAAGTTTATCATTTGCATTGCACTTATGCATTTCATTTGACTGTCGAATGAACAAATATCGTTTTAGATTCACAATTGGGAGACTATAATAAATAATAATGAAAATATTTTAGGTCGCCTTGTTGGAGGTGTTTGGTGGTTTTTCACATTGATTATTGTGTCGTCATACACTGCTAATTTGGCAGCTTTTCTAACTGTTGAACGAATGGGAACAACGATCAAAGGTGCTGAAGATTTAGCGTCACAAACAGAAATTCAATACGGTACTCTGGCCTCTGGCTCAACAGCTAGTTTTTTTAAGGTATTTCAAGAATTTGACATTCTGTGGTTATCAAATCATTTCCAATTTTGGAATAATTTTTACTTCATTATGATGTTACTCTAATGAAAATATTTTGCTTTTACTCGATAGGAGATTAAAAATGAGACATTCTCATGGAAGTCGTTTCTCTGTAATAGAATATTTTTACTTTGATATTAAAATAGCCTACTAGACTAGTATTCTGTGGAATGCAATTAAAGCTATTTCTTGCAAACGCCAGAAAATATAAAATTTATTTATATTCATATTTCTGACAATAAGGCATTGTCTTCAACTCCCTCTTATTATATAATAAGTATATGTATAAATTTCAATCCGACTATTTTCTTCGCAATTTTTTTTATAAGCCAAATACATATGTTTATATTTCAAATTTCAGTAGAATTTTTCAATATATTCGACTTTGATTAGATTCTCTACTTTTTACAGAACACTCCAATTGCCCTGTATGAAAAAATGTGGAATTATATGAAGAACAAAGAACCTTCTGTATTTGTGAAAAACAATAAAGAAGGAATCGATCGAGTTAGGAACAGTGATGTAAGTATTAGTAAATAAAATGTGAACGAGAATATCGGTCGGAGACCGAAGACTTATCGATCGAAACTGCGGTTTCGATTTACGACTCTATAGTGACACCACGTGACCCATCACTAATTAATTAATAACTCGCTAATTATACGACATAATTCATCCAAAATCAATAGGCTTCTGGTCCAAGATATGATGAATGTACATGCGAATTTCGAGCATATTCAACCTCGCTTTCGTGAAATATCGCGTGCATCTAACAGACAAATGCCTATCAACATACTTACCGATCAAGTTGATAAGTAATAAACTACAATTGTCTGCAATCTAAAGCGAGGTGTACAACCTCCGGCCCACAAAGAAAAATTGAGCGGCCCGCGGAGAAGTGCCAATTTTGAATGGTGCCAGCCCGCGAAACGAGTTTTTATACAGTTTATTCTGTTGCGTGCGAGTAACTCTTTGCATTGCAAAGCCTCTGTGTATAATCTATGGCCCTCCTGTATTAAAGATTGCCTGATTTATAGGATAATCAACTTTAGAGTTTGCTGTGAAAAGCCACACTTACTAAATAATCTCGGAGATGTAGATTATCGTTTCCACCTTTATCACCAAATGTATTGCGTAAGTAATCGTACGCTGGAAATTGGAGTCAAAAGAGTCCATATTTTTACTGCTAGTTTACTGTTATACACACGACTTTCCTTTCAGGGTAAATACGCATTTTTGATGGAGTCAACTCAAAACGACTACATGGCACAACGAAAGCCTTGCAATACAATGAAAGTTGGATCGAATATCGATAACAAAGGATATGGCATTGCGTTACCAAAAGGATCGCCGATATAGTTAGTCAAATATCACTATTTTAATATATATATATATATATAAATTATATATATCTATCATTTGGCATCTCAGCAATTATGCGGAATTGGCTAGGCATGGACCTTTCACGCCCAAAAAATTCTTCCTATACTTTACCATTGCAAAATTTTCTGGTGCTATTTTAAGAGTGCTTTTGCGAGTTGGCGCCTGTAAAATGGGTTATGTGTTTGAAACCATCATTATGATTCATCGCAAACAACAATATGTTTTTTAAAAATACGGTAAAGAATTTTATCCTAGTCTATCACAGCTAATTCTACACTAATTTTTATTCCTGAAATTAAATTAAAACTCCTAGGAAAACAGAGTGATCATTGAATTATTTGATTTATATTTAAGTCTCCAAAAACTAACGAATAGAGTTCAAAAACGCGAAAACGAGGTAATGTTTACGATCACGCTTGAAAATCTGTCTAAGTGAGAAAAGTGTCTGAGCGGATGCGAAAAGCGAGCATTGTTACGTCAATTTTTGCATCTTGCTGATTGGCTAATGTCACATAGTATACAAGAAAGTCGATGCTCGGGGAAAGGTCCATTGCTTTACAATTTATTATATACTGTGTAAGGGGGTGGAGACTGTTGTAATTATTATTACGTTTACGTGTGAACATTCTCTTTGTTACCTCTAAAACATTTTTTCAGTGATTCCATAAATTTGGCAATCTTAATTTTGCAAGAGAGGGGGAACCTTCAAAAATTGAAAAAATTTTGGTGGTATGACAAAAGTCAATGTACAGACGCGGCACAGTCAAAATCGGTGGGTTGTTTTTGTATATGTATATATTGAAAGTACATATATCATTTTTAATGTTGATTCAAAGTAATATATGGCAACTTGAATTGTAGGATAAGACCTCTGAACTGGGCCTGGCGAATGTTGCTGGAGTGTTTTATGTACTTTTGGGTGGAATTGTTTTTGCTTTATTTGTTGCATTGTTGGAATATGCTTACAAAGTTGCAAAACTGACTGCGAACAAAAAGAACAAGTTGAAAGCAAGTATGTATAATTAGAATGGAATCCTTTTCATATTTATCATATATAATTAATATTTTTTACGTCGATTATTTTCCGCTCAATTCATTCGTTCGTAATTAGTCAAGAATAAATTCATAATCTAGCGAACCAACGAAATTAATTCAAACTCTTGTATTTTAAGAATGTAATAATTGTATGCATCTACTAACACGTTCTGCATCTTCCAAATCGTTCGCGTCCGAAGGATCCACGTCATGAAGAAAATAGAAAATGAAACAACTTCAATCAGGAACACATTGATATGTTATTCGTGGCAAATGTTATTTATGCAGTAAACATGGTGTTCATTCAATATATATATATGTGTGCCGTTTGCTGATTCAGCAGTATATTGTTGTTTGTTTAAACTTTAAATAGACAATGTCGCACAAAGCCTCTTCTACTGATTGTTACTGATCAATAACATCACTGTAATCGCTGTTACTGTTATTTACATTACACTTCGTGTCAATAATAAATTCACCAATCATTTCATTCGACAATTGGTGCATTGGGCTCAGAGTTAAGAACACGCATAATTACCCTGCGCGAGAAGCATCCAAGGTGTGCGAGTCTCCTCGCTGCCGTGTGTAATTACCGCAAGCGCTGGTCGGTCTACGCATCTGTAACGAATGGTTCCATTACATTTGAACCCACGTACATTTGAACACATGGCAATTGCACCTGTATGCTATTGCACCTATGGAATTTGTTTTTCGGATAGTTGAACTCATACTAACCCTAACCCATGGGTTTTAGCACCCGCATATAGATTGAACCCGTGGATATACGCATGGGTTCAAATGTACGGTCACCGTAACGAATGTATGGTAAACAGTCACCCACGCCCGACATGGAGCGGTAACCAATCGAGAGGCTATGAACAGATGATTAAGCCTTCTTGTAGGATTCTCGCCCCAAGGATAAATATGATTTCCTATTTCTACGATTTCAATCTGGAAAAGGTTTTCATTAGCGTGTCCCGCTCAAGCTAACAATTTAGAGTAGCGGCCTAATATATGGACAAGAAAAAGCGCATAGGTACTGAGAGAAACGAGTTTGCTGAAAATATCGTCGAACAAGCAATAAGGAGGCGTTTGGACGAAATGGAATAAAAAATATTCCTTTTATTGCAGCTTTCTCGAGTCTTCTCCCTTACGACTTTAAGAAATTTATAAAAAAAATATTACATCGACTTTTACCCCCTCGAGTACTGGAAGTTTAAATTGTCTATTTTGTATTTCATCTCCATTTTGCAACGAGTCGAAATAGCAGACGACGCCATACCCTTTTTGGGCCAATAACAAGCCTACAACTCCACGTTTCAATGCGGAGTAGCCAAAATAAAAGTATGACACAAATATATATAATATAACTAACTCTGTATTACTACAAATTCGGTAAAAAAATTCATAGAAAAATAATTTATAAATATAAAATACTATGTTGTACCGTTTGGGTAAAATAGGTAACAGGTAACAAAAAGTGCAATTGTAGGGTTCAATGAAAACGGAACACATCAAGAATTAACTTTCTTGTCAGGGTGATATTTATTGTATATCAGAAGGCATTGGCTCAATCTATAACTGTCAACTGAGTTTATACGAAATAATACTGCTATTAAATGTTATTATATGAATAATTTTAAAAAACTTCCCAAAACAGGACAGAAATTTTTCTTACATTTTCACTCCTAGCTGTGCTCTGTATTAGCAGTCGGTGATAAGTTTCATATACGGGCCTATTTGTTTAGTTCTCAGCCTCAGTTAAAATCCTTAGATCAGTGGTCTAATATTTTCAGTGCCATGGACAATTTCGATGATTTGCCTGAAAGTTGGATTCCTTTTAACAAAACCAGTCAAAATAATACTGTTATAAACGAAACTGAACACAAAAAATACTCTGAAGGTGAATAATATAAAATTTGTCCTGTCAGAAACTTTTTCCTTTATGGATAATCGTAAACAATGTCAAGAAGTTACAAGTGGATTAATATTTGTTCATAAGAATGAGATTTAGTTTCCCTAAATACTGGTTTATAGAGTTGTCCTAGAATTTCCGCCTATTGCAAGGTAAACCACCAGGGCCTACATTCTTTTTGCTATTTTGTTTTTTCACCTCTACATGCAAAGCTCACAGGCCCTGGATTGATAACCACTTCCCTAAATCGAAACCCTGAAGTTCGTCATTTCAACGGGAGAGTTGATGTATTCAAAGGTTTGGACGAAAATATGGGATATCCTAGAGGAGGGTCGGAGGTCTGAACTATTAGATTTCTTAATAATGCTTGATGTGCTTGTATACTGTATCGTTCTTCATCGTCGTTTGTTGCGTAAATCATCTCTAGAGCAAAATTTGACCATATTCCTCGGACAGCTGCTGGATTTACACGTCCGAAGTGCATTGATACAGATTGCTTTGTGAGTGTTCGGACGCTAAGTTCTTTCTGCATTAACAAGTAAATATTATTAGCATTAATTAGAAAGAGATCTGAAAATATTACAAGAATTATCGAGCTTCTTGATGTACCAGAGAAGTTTGTGAAGTCATTGCTTGGTTAGTGATTACAACACCATTAACAGCAATATAGATTTGCTCATCTGGAATGGCAATGGCCTTGCAGTTAGAACAGCATTGTTGACGCTGCAAGTTACATTTACTTATCTTCATTAAAAATATTACACGAAGAGCTTATCAGGAACATTTTGTTATATATTTTAGGACCATGGGTTGCTTCTATGCAGACAAAAGCGTTTTATATCATAACACTCTTGCGACAATTTTTCATGCTGCGAATTTTTCTATGCGGCGAAATTTCCTACAGCGAGATTTCCTACTTGAAAAATTCCTGCAGCAAGATTTCCTACTTGAAAAATTCCTGCAGCAAGATTTCCTACTTGGAAATTTCCTGCGGCGAAATTTCCAGACACGTCCAATGACATGTTGCTTCAAGTTGAATGCACAAAATCCCAACACCACTAAATATTTTTGGTTATTTACCTTCACAGAATTATGACAAAGTGCAAACAAGTGAGAATTTCCGTCAACCAATCCTTTCCTCCATTTAGGATCAGATTCGATTCCAATAAACCATTCGTCATCATATTCAGTGAAATATTCAGATAGTTCATCATTACTTTCAGCTGGTCCTAAACTAACTTGATCATACATGAGCTTGACTGCATATCTGATAATTATAACAAAATATTAAATCATTAGTTCTCAATTCAAAGTTCACGAGTTGGTGAATATAAAAGAGTTGGTGTGAACAAGGTTTCAACACGAGATCTTCAACTTACAATACTGACAAAGTCAGGTATAATGCACTAACAAAGAAGGAGGCTCTAAGTCTAGACCAAAGGTCGGGAACCCATGGCTCATGAGCCATATATGGCTCCTTTGGTGACGGCATATGGCTTCCAGAGAAATCTAGTATTTTAAGGCTAAGATTTCTATTGTTGCGAGATTTCAAACTCTTTCATAGCTAAATTTGACAGAAGAAAGATTGCCAATACGTTTGAGAATGCGCGCCCAGCACATGTCTATGTTATCTAAGAGAATTACCAAAAATTGTGACAAAACTAGGGGATTCTGGAACATATTCTGTGACATCACAAAGCGATCGAGTTGGCAGCAATAGATCAAAGCCTTTCGTCCGTTTGTTCGTACTAGTTACAGTATTTTTCATATTTCAATCGGACTAGCAAATATAATTTTTAAAATACTACAGAGATGCTTAAACGAAAGAAGGATGATGAGTACCGTAGATTTCAAATTGTGCTGCATGTGAGCATGCCTTTCAATGCCCGCAGTGACAACATGCAGTATCAGAAGTCACATTAAATGTATATTGCCTTTGTATGTGTTGACTTTTGAGTAATAATTTCGGGCCTGATTAAATGACGAAATGGCTCGCACGGAAATGCAATTGAAAATATGTGCCTATTATGGTTCTCTAGACGAAAAAGGTTCCAGACCCCTGCTCTATCCAACCAATGACCATTATGTAACATGTTACGTTTTAGAGAAACTGCGGCTTACAGCGAGCCTAATTTTTTACAACCTAGTTGAGATGCTGTTCACAAATTCAAACTCGGGATTTTCAACTTTTGACACTGACATAGTTAGGAAAAATGATCTAACAACCGTAATTGGCTTCAGGTAAGTAACAACCAATATGCACAGAGTTAAGGTATTCACCCTATGGCGCCCTATATAGTTAAGCGGCATGCACTAAACACTAGAGGAGATCATGGCGGCCCAGTTAATTTTTATTATAATAATAAAAAAATAGACGGTAGGCAGATACTTTATATATTATTTTTTACATCAATTAAGAACACACACACAGCATTCACCGACCTGTAAGCTGTGATAACAATATCATGAAGATCTTTTCTAGCTTTTAACCAATCCAGTGCAGGAGACCAAGGAATTTTATCGTAATAAACTTGTTGCATATGTTCTGTACCGAGCAGAGATGAGTTTTTACCAGGAACACCTGCAATAAACGAGCTTTTGTTGAAAATTTTGACACTGATTCTTCCCATTAAAAGACTCAGTTACCAACACATACAAATTTAAATTTCTGACCAAAGCTCTGGTAGTTTTTCAAAATACTCAAATATCAATGAAAAGAATGCTCATTCCGACTCTACATTCTTAAACACATAAAATGCACTAATAAATACTAAATCTCACCCATCATATTGACAATGGAATCACAAGAAGTAATCAACTTTGCCAACGATGATACAATAGCAGGAGTGACAAAGATTTCACTTCCATACTTTTCTACTGATGATTTCAAACAATGTTCCAACCATTTTAAATCTAAAATTCTCATTGAATCTGTGATATCGTCCGAGGAGATTGGTATTTCATTCCACTTTGATGGAATCAGTTTAAAAAATAGTTTATTATTGTCGTTCTGTATAGTTTTTTCATCATATAACTGTACATAGGATTCACTCAATCCACTATCCATGTTATGCCCAAAAGCTGAATCGCTCATAACCACAGGTGTGTTTTCTGAATAAAAAAATTTAGGTTATATGAAATGTATCTCTATAAACAATATTGACAATTATGATCATATATGCCTGACATGGGCACACTACGGCCCGCGAGCCAAATCCGGCCCGTTGGGTAGTTCATTTTGGCACACCTGATGCTGCCCCAACCCGACTAAAACCAAATTTTGATGTTTTAGCTGAAAAATTGCTGAAGGAATTTGTTAAGACTGCGATTAAATTTAGTTTCCCGCATTTACTTTTGTAAGACTGTTAATATTGTTCATAAAATGCAACTTTTTACGTAACACTCACATGGCCCGCCAGTCCAGGTGGCAAAATTTTTGGCCCCTGGTACAAAACCTTGCCCACCCCTGATATATGCTGTGAAATAATGACCATTACTATACTACTATTCCAGAACCCAAGAATTAGAGCAGTTTTATTAACAGACCGTAGATAAATGATTGATACTATTCAGATACAGATATAGCAGATATATGCAGGGGTGGTTATGTGCGAGAGGATTGCTGGACTCCTCGCCGTCGTTGGGTGGTTCACGTAACCGCTGGTCGGTTACGGCTTCCTCAACCACCAAGTCCATGCTTCCGAAAACAAACAATATAACTAATCCCATACTCGACTTGGAATGGTAACCGGACGAGAGGCCGTGGTACGCCATATGGATAAGCCGTCTTATCGGCTTTCCTCTCCCCCCGGGATAAATATGTGAATCCTATCCTCCTATCCTAGCACAGATGTTTCACCAACATAACAGAAAAACTGAAAACCAGTCCTAAATCGAAAGTTAAGGCATTTGGACATGAAATATCACATTGATGTTTGATGTAACAATGCTAGCACTATAATTTTTCAAGTCTTGCAAAACCATTGCATTGAAATGAAGAACAGAAAGGATTGGAATGGGAATAAAAATAGTTCAGTAGATTTACTGGTGAATATAAATTCACATTGTGTTTCAAAGAAATAAGCTAGAAGTTGATAAAAGTCAAACTCACTCATTTTCTTTTTGTCTGCATCAATAGCAGGAAGTCCGTAACCAGAATCGGATAAAATACTGTCAATGTCCCATTCATCATTATCACTGGATTTGTTATTTTGCATTCTATAATAAAAAGTTCAAGATAATTCAGAGCAAAATAGTACCGGTAAATGCTATCTACTCAAAGCAAGACAGATTTTTGTTTAGTTAAGTAGTTTATTTTACAATTTCAATTTCAAAGTCTCCAAAACGTAACTGCAAATTCCAACATGTTCCACACTCACACAAGGCCACATATGAACCGCAAGAACACTTGGATGTATTCAATGATTGTAATCATTTTAATTATTTTAATCATTGATTATTATCGATGATCAGTAACTAATTAATTTAGTTGAATGAAATAACTTTTCTCTAAGATTTTATAGGCCTGAAAGTGAAGCTATTCCCGCAGTTTCTGCAACAGAATTGTGATCTACTACTGAATTTGAAACAAATTGGAAAGACTTTGAAGAAAACAAACTATTCAAATGAGTGAACATGTATATTTTCATACTTTTTACTAGATCCTTGCCTTCCTCCGATTCCACTTTTTCTTTGTTTCATTTCCATTGCTTTTCCATTTTTCAAATTCTTCATGCTTCCTCTTGTTCTACTTAATGGGCGTTCATCATCGGACGTTAAGATGGATGTAAAACTGACCAAAGAATCTGACCTTATAGAGTGGACAACTACTGATCGAGCATCTCCTACATCACTTTCAACAACAGAATTTGGGTGGGGAAAATTATTCAACGTTGCTGGTTTTTTCAAATTTTGGACGCTTAATTCATGAGGTTTATTAGATATAAGCAAAATGTCTTTTTCAGAATTGTTTTGGTTTTCGGATGGTTTATTTTTGTTGTTTTCAGTTGCACCCATTTTCTTGTTATTTGAAATGATGTGTTGTACTATAATCCACGAAAGACTTTTTAGAAAGTCAGCTCTGAGTTGTTTCATTGTATCTGGGTGGTCAATAATTCCACGCAACGAGTTTTTAGCGTCGGAATGACTGTCGATAAACGCTGAATCAACTGGTGTGACTGAACTGGTTCCAACGTACTGGTTGGTTCTGAAAACCAATAATTTATCAACTTAGCAGTGTGTCCAAAAAGTATATTTTTATTTTGGAAAATATATTTAACGCTATAATTATGTTATTTCATATTTCTGTTAAGAACAACCAAACGTAGGTTGGTTGAATTATTGAATTATTTATAGTCTGAATTAATATTAACCAACAATTTTTTCCATCATGGTTTAAATAGGTTTGGCGTTCACAATGAACACAACGGTGTTTGAATCCAAGACTTTCACTTAAATTGCATCATAGTTAGAAAAAACGTCAAAATTACAAACAAGAAACGACGATCGAAAATAATGAAATTTACATTTTATATCACAAACTAAAGCTGCATATATTAAAGTTATACATAGCCAATGTATTTTCAATGACACAATATTCATCAATCATTCATACCTCAAGCATCGTAAATCCAGCTCAGTTTTCTCAAACGCAATATCAAAAGCATCATCAAGTCTTGTAGCTTCCAATGCATGACAAGAGGTTTCCTGCAATTCCAATCCCTTCATGGAAAAAGAAACGTAACCACAGCCAGATTCGAGTACCTGCAATTGAATGCAAAAAAATAAACTATTTAGTGTTCTGCATAACAAACAAAAAATGGGACTGTGGGATCTGAGCTTGCTAGTTATTGATATTAGCCAGATAGGATTCAGAGTTGTATTTTCAAAGTTCTCGGTATTGAGAGTCGGGGCCAAAATCTGAATTCTCCATAGTCTGGAGCCAAAATTTTCTTTCAAACTTCCCAATAATGATAACTGAGGGCTTGAATACGGCAATTCTTCGCTATCCAAATGGATTTCTTATAGCATGTGTCATAATTTCCACCGACCAGTTAAAACTCAGCAAACAAGAAACGAGAATATCGGTCAGAGACCGAAGACTTATCGATCGAAAGTTGGGGGAATCCCCCAAAACAGCGCTCTTACTCCATAGTGATACCTTGTGTCCCATCACTAATTAATTAATACCTCGCTAACTATACGATACGACATAATTCATCCAAAATCAATAGGCTTCTGGTACGATATATGATGAATGCACATGCAAAATCTGGAGAAGATTCAATCTCGCTTTCGTGAGATATCGCGTGCATCTAACAGACAGACAAACAAACAGACAGACAAATACCTATCAACATACTTACCGATTAAAATCGATAAGTAATCAGAATTGTTTTTCAAATGATATTTTATTATTGCTGAAATTAATAATCTGTAATTTGACTCGTTATAGTCCATAATTTATTAATTATAATAAATTCTTTTGGCATGAATATTACATAAGAAACAATTGACCATGTGAACTTAAATGACATATCAATAACTGTACTAAGGATATAGCCACACAGCGGATTGAATAATTCATGAATGGCTTTTCGATAAAAAGGTTATCAATAATCATGAATACAATTTTAGCCTTGAAATTTATATAATACAGATATGTAGCCTATGAAATGAAATGAATAGACTCACAAAATCTGAATTCGATGGAATAAACAATACATTACTAAACAGGTGAAATAGGTGACTCAAAACAATATAAATAAGTTAAATAACTAATTGATAACAAAGTTCCTTATTATTGGTATATAAAACTGAATTTGGAATGATAAACCTGTCTACAAGAAAATGATGACAAATATCAACAACAGCATTATGATTACAGTGTGATCTCAACTGGTTAGCATCATAGATAAAAAATGTCAAACTTAAGCACTTATGGGCCAAGCCCATCGACGCCCCAAAAGTGTATGTACCAATATGAAGATAACTAATTTTGTTCGCCAACTTTACATCAAGTTGTGTAAACGGACGAAAGTCTATGGGCAGGAGGTATATTCACTTGTAACAACACAAACAGTAATAGAACTAAAATAAGGAAAATTGGAATAACATAATGGCCTAACCCTAACCTGGTACATACACTACGGGAGTACCAGCCTATCATCCCACCCAGGGAGTGAGTAATTGGGAAGTTTTCCAAACTCCACAGCTCTTTTTTCTAAGTAGCTGCTTATACAGAGCCTTGCTCAGAGCATGTGTAATAAACACCTTATAGAAATAATATATAAACACTGCAAGCTTTTAAAATTGTTCTTATTAAGCTAATGACACACAGATATCAAGATGTAGCCCACCCCCGACCACAGCAATGTTGTAAAATGTATCTAATCTATCCAATATCAAAGAAACCTTACAAATGAGTATGTGTTGGCAACATTATGAAACATGATACTATACAATGTTATATACTTTGATCTATGTTACGGTACTACAGGTGGGGTGGTATGCAAGAATGTAAGTATGTAATGGTATACATGGAACAATAAATACATTTGTATGAAACACCCAAGAACAGGTAACAGGTGTTTTTAAAATTTATTCTCAATTACTGGACACAAAGTGGCTTTGAGAATTCTTCCATTAAATCAAGGGTGTGCAACCTGCACCTCGGGGGCCAAATGCGACCCACAAAGAAAAATTGTGTGGCCCGCAAAACGCAAGCCTACGTCTGAGTTAATTTTTTTTTATCTATGTCCATGACGTTATAATGTCCTAACAGCTAGCTCGTGCGAAGCGAACAATACATGTCATAAGATCAACGATCAAAATTTTTGTGCCTGCAACTACTAGAAAGCATAAATAAAGGTGCGGCCCGCGGTTTCACCCAGTTATTTGTATCTGGCCCTCCTGTATCAAAAATTGCACACCCCTGCAATTAAATCGTAAATTTACCATATTACATAAACATATATCACAATTTCATACTTACATCACACATATGGTACATACTAATACATCCTTGAACACCTTCCGAATAAAAATTCAAATAGACGAATCAACAGAATTATTATTCGTTTAATGGAAGGAACATTATTATACACTATCCAATACCTGTATCCATAATGTTCTGTCTTGAGATCTTGCAATATAAAAGGAAGGTAGTGAGGAAGAAGAAGCTTGTGCTGATACTATTCCTAGTCCAACTTCTGATGAAAACCATTTACAAACAGGTTCAACCATTTGCTGATAATAGATCGTGTCGGGACAAATGTTCGCCTGAGCTGAACCTGAATAAAGCATAGAAGACAAAAAAAATTAATTAAAAAAAATATAAATATATTCATTATTAGGTATGATATTATTAAATTTTTAAATTGGGAAATAGATTATGTAGGTGTATAAATTTTATTAGACATATTGTTGAACCTTTTAAATGATGAAGAAACGGTGAAATCCTAGCATGTAATATTTCAAATCAGGTGTAGATTCTATTCTATTTGAATTTTTAACTTATCTGCTGACCGGCAAAAATGTTTTTTGGGTTACCGTAATAACAGCCAAACAAGTGAATAACCTGGTAAGCAAACTAAACCCCAAAATAAGATCAAAAATGACTGAATGTGTTCTGAAACATACCAAAAGAAAATGAAAGACCAAGGACAAACAATCAAAACAATTATAAATTATAAAATATGACGATGATGTTCTTTACTTGTTTGGATGTTATTACAGTAACCCAAAACTTTTTTTCAACAGTCAACAGATAAGTTAAATATTCAAATAGAATTTACAAGTGATTTGAAATTATTTGATTTGATAATATATGAGTATTGGCCATTATTCAGGTGTTTAATCAAATGAATTAATTAGTGAAATTACAAACAAACAACGTTATTAAACAACCATTGGGAAAATTCATGCTGGACATTATATACCAAAACATCTTATAATCACCCTCTTTTGCGAAAACTGTGGTTCACTCTGCAGTTTTTTTCAGACAGCGAAATCATTATTTTTCGTTTCAAAAAAAAAAAAAAGTATGTGTGACTTCACATAAATACGAATAAAATACACTGATAAATCCATACCTGGTTGAGAAGCCCAAAATTTGCTTGGTCTTGGGAATCCAATGGTAAAAATAGGCAGAGTGAATAGTGGTAAAAAAGGAGCAGATAACACAGAAGCAATTCCAATTATTGCTAATGTGAAAGGAAAAAATATAATGTTGAGGCAAATGAGTGGAATCGTCATTGACCTGAAACAATGAAAACATAGATTTTAAAACAGTGGGTTCGAGTCTCGTCTGAAACATTCTGAAAAGTAACAAATGATCAGTGAGTAATGAAATTAACTATGATTAACACCTAGAATACAATAGTAAGAATAGATTATTAAGTTAATTTCATTTCTACATAATTTTGTGAACAGGTGGGTCATGAGCGTAGTCAGTGGGTGAGGCTGGGTGAGGGTCGAAACTCCCCTTTTAAATTAGAAAAAAAAAATGTTTGTAACAAGCAAAGTAATTTTTTGTAGATTGAAACACATTTTAGACCCCTTATTAAGAATAATCAACTAATTGAAACACGCAACCAAGTCAGGGATGGCCAAAACCGAATAATCCAATATACTAAATGCATTCTTGAATTATATTTTTTTAATATGAAATTCCAAATATATCCTAAAGTAGGTAATGTTCATCAAAGAACATTATAGAGGTCATATTTTGAAGATATTCTTAGTTTTCAAAAACTTAATGAAGGTGTTTTGATTATACTTTAAGATGTGATAAACTTCTTAAAACAGCAATTTTTTTTAAATAAAACTATTTTAACTTATTCTTGAAATCAAAAATTTATACTAGTACAATTTAATAGCTAAAAATTTAAATTTTTTCGAAAAAAATTATCGAATATCGATAATTGTGTATGAGTTGTAAAGAATGATAAATTGCTTCGAACCTTCTTTGTTTTTTATCAGTCCACGAAGTCACCATGAGAGTGAGAGCAAACCATAAATTATCCAGAAATTGGAAAAACCTATCTCTACATATATCCAATATAATCAGTCGTGTTCCCATAAAAAGTGTTCCCCATGTTGTTGAGTTCAAGTCAGAGATTAAATTTAGAATAGAAAGGATGGCAAATGAAAACAAAGCATTCCCAGGACGTTGCCACACCTGTCAAAAGAAATCAACACTGTAGTCTATTTATTGATAGTAACTATGTGATAACAATGAGATAAACCACAAAATTAAACATGACGTCAGCCAAACAGAATCGTAATACGAAGTACTTCTCAGTCGCTATTATGATAATATTAAACTCAAAACAAACAAGAAATAACTTCAGTATTTATAAAGTTTGAGAATTCCAATATATGTTTTAGATATTACATTTAAAACAGGTTTGGTATATACTAGCAAAATTATTTCCAGCAAGTCGATGGGCTCTCTATGAAAAACCAGCAATCATGGTCCTAAAGCTAGTTAGGCTACACATACAAGCAATGCTTCTAAATTCGATTTAATATGCCTAACTATTCAATAAACATGGCTAGATTTCAATAACTCTTTAATTTAAAGAGTTATTTTACTGAATAAACGACAATTAGATATAGACCATATTACTTTGGGTTCAGTGGACAACATTGTCAAAATATTCTACTATTTGTCTATTACAATATACTATTATTAAATACTATGTTAGCATGAAAAAGTGTAAATTACAAGACCCTACTACATTGACCCATAACGAACATTATATAGTTTGAATTATAATAGTACTTACAAATCTCATTCCATGTATACATCCCAATGCTACTTCAAAAGAAGGAAATGATGTTGTTGAAGTTGAAAATATGAAGAATGACAAATAAATAGAAGATGATATAGGAAAAATTATATAAAGAAATATTCCATGAATTATTCCCAGCCAAGATAGAAGTTTTTTCCTGAAAACAAACAGAAAAAAATATAAAGACAAGTCGCCATTAACTTAAAAATACCCATACTATACCTGGCGCACCATAAGTGTGTGTACCAATATAGTGATAACTAAATTTGTTCGCCTATTTTACATCAAGTTGTGTTAAGGAACAGAAGCAGGGGGTATATTCACTTGGCTAACACAGAAAATCCCTGAACTTGTAAAATAACTAAATTAAGGAATAACTAAATCGGAATAAAATTATGACCTAACCTTAACCTGGTACGCACACTACAGGAGTACCCCATACGTAACAGATTTTTTAATACGATGCTTATCCACTTGTGCTTGGACGAAGGTCGTATACTAGCCGGCCAAGAATCCATTGTCATCTAACAATATGTATGGGGCTACTATTATTTATAAGGGTTGTTCTCTTTCTAGTTTGGCATCGCCTAACCAATTTATTATACCACGAGTGAAGTGGGGGGCAAGGATTTTAACCCTAGATGCGTTATCTACTATTCCAATACACTTGAGTCTAATGCTTAACCTGCTAGGCCATCGTCCACAATTTCAATACAACAATCATTCTATAAAAACAATTTCAAAATATGAGGAGTCAATTTAAGATTAAATTGTTGAATTTGAAAAAAAAGGCATTAAAATAGGTAGAAAGGAACAAACCTTTTTTGAAATTTCGACTGAGAGAGCGTGGAAACAGGATAAAAACAGTTCCGAAAAATCCCGAAGCAAAAATAAACTCTTTGAAACTCTCTGAATACCAGAGTTACAACAAATATTCCGATAAAAACATATTCCAATGCTGACTTTACACCAGTATTTCCAGATACAGAGGATCCATAATAATGGGCTAAAAATGTCCCAGTAAACACAAGAGTGAACATGACTGAATGAGTAACGATTTGTTTCCAAGAAACTTGTAATCCATTAGAGTTTGCATCAGTAATATGATCTTCATTAAACCTGACAATGTAACGAATGAATAATAACAGTTACCACATATTTCATTTTAAAATTTTATACACCTGTCACTTTGGAAAAAGGGCAGGACAAGCTAACACTGCTTTGCAAGAACCCTCTCTCACAAAGAATCAATGAATTTTGTAAATCCTAAATAACATCGAAATGATGGATAGAAAATTGATAAAAATTTAAAACATGCTAAAAATAGCAATGAAAAATGTCGAATAATCACAATTCTAGTGCAAAATTGTATAACTACTGAAAACGACGGAGTTTGTTATTGAAACTCAATTCAGACTTTGTATTTGAGATCCTGTTTAACATATTGGAGGCAGAAACACAGAGCGATCATCGACACTTAGCCACAACATGTTGTAACCAACTTGGAAACCATGAAGAAACAATATACTCACTCTTCTACTTTCGTTTTTCTGCCACAAAAATCTTTTATAAATCTAAAGTGCGAAACTGCATTGAAACAGAGTGAGGTAATGTCGGTGCTGAATAAATAACCAAATGCTACGCTACAGCTGATGATAATTTGAGCTGAAGTTGCAAATGACAAGCCAATAAGAACAGAAGATGAAATAATCGTCATAAAAAGCAACCTGAAATATATGAATTGAAATAAGAAATTCTACTAAGAAAATTGAGATTAAATGACTGCAAGCAGAAAAAATTAATAATGACTTCACTTGAGTAGCCCTGTTGTGGAATGAGAGTGGCATGTCATGTACTCAAGCATAGCTCTTATAACCATAGTTCGAGCACGATAAATCAACTTTGGACGAATTTGGATTTCAATCCAACAGTGTAACAAATGAGGTTACATCAACAAGGTTCAAATTTAGACTTGATTCATACTCTAAAATTAACTTTTTGATACCAACCAGCAACCATCAAAATTTGCAATATTTTCGTTAGGCTGAATGTCAACTAAAAATGGGAAATTAGTGCGAATCCATAATTTTGGACAATTAAAAAAAAGAACACATGTTACAAAGTATGCTGATGTTCCCAGAAATATAATAATTTTACCTCCAATCAGTGGACATGCATGATCCACCTAGGCCAAACGTTAAAAATTGCTCCATAAACCATAAAGATAATGCATCGAAAGGTGGAATAATACCAAGTAACCAGAGTGCTGGTAATGTGCAAAATACGATATGAAGTACATTGTTGACAATAGTGAGAACAGCAGAGTCCACTCTGAAAATACAAGTATATACTTGTAGTAGATATAATCTTCTACAACCAAGAGCAATTAAAAGAGATTAACAGCACTTTAGTGTGTCAAAGGAATCCAAACTTAAATATTAGCATAGTAATGGCAATTTCAAAATTGTTATTACTAAATCAATAAATTTGAAAAAAGTATCACATGACCCATAAATTTCAAAAGAGAAATAATAAAGAAAACATAATCTCTTTCTGCAAATTATCAATATCTATTCGCGGTTCAGAAAAGCTATATCTTGTTTTGTCTGAAGAAGTTAGAATGTTATCTAATGGAAGCTAATATATGGATACAAAGTGGGATCCCACGGAACTAATACCTGTGATTTATAGTTTTAGTTTGATTGTTTTGTTTGACATTTCTTTAAAAAATGAAAAAACACATAAAAAAATAATATAATAATTATTGAGAATAAAAATTTTGACGTTTCGCTGATTAGTTTTCATTCATGTTCGTCAAACGCAAAATCATGAGCTCCTTCCACTACCCAAAAGTACAGAGAGTACTGATAGAAGAAATGCAAACAATTTATTTCATCATAATTAGTTATTAATTTGAAAAACATACTCACAGAATATCTACTAAGAAGACTATCAAAAATAATGACACAGTGAGAGATCTCCAAAGATTTTGAGTTTCATAAAAATCCACTGAACGATATGCAGCAGTTTCAGGTATAGGATTTCCAAGAAGTAACGGATACTGGGCGACGCAAATAACAATCCAACAAAATATGAACAAGAAAATACTACTGACGGTGTTGTAACCATATAGAGTGGTGAAAGTGGTATAAGGTAGTGAATACCACATACCCAAACCATTGACAAAAATTGATAATAAAGATGCGGTGACGATGGACAAATAAAACCTAAAAACAAAATAAAATAATATTAAATATGGTAGAAAAATCAATTAATCTGTTTCACTCAAATCAAGGTAAAGGATGGCTTATTACTTGAGTAAAAACACTCATTTATACTCCAGTTAAATTTTGAGCATTATTACTATTCAAAAAATTTTTGTATGAGAAACAATTACTAGTAGGTTAAACTGACCAGAATTAACAGTCGAAATATGATAGCATTTGTACTGCTATTTAGTTCTTCATTACTTCCTGAATTAGAACCAAAATGGATTCCATAACACTAGAGTGGTGGATAATATGAATAACAAAATTTTTCAGGTCATTACAACATTAGTTTGCAACACGGAGAAGTTTCAGTTAGAAATTGGGCTTGTGCTAGTATTGTAGGAAATATCTATGAGCTATTTTCAACTATTTGTTGATAAATAAGATACGAATATAATATATAAATTATTGCAATTCATATTTCACTGCTAAGTGCAATACGAGCTACTTTTTCATAAGAAATTATTTGATAATGCTAAGTACATAAGAAATATTTAAAAAAAAATAAAAGATAATAATAATAATAAGCAAAAATTCAACATGAAATTTAAATAAATACCCTAAATAGTAAAAGAGCAAAACAATATACCTACCTCTTTGGAGGAACCAAAAATAAGAAAGTATTTGATGACAAGCATGATTCGAATATAATTTCATCTTCTTCTGCAAGTAACCTTCTCAACTTCTTGGAGGATACTGTCAAAAAATAAATAAGAGCCCATGTAATAAATTCTCAAAATGAAAAACCATAAAATAGAATGACTATATTCTTAACAGAGATTTTTCTGATACTAAATAAACGTTGTGAAAAATCCGAATGCAGCATTAAAATTTTTTATAAACTATAATAAAGAATAACTCACCACTAGCAGCTGAAGATAAACTAAATTTATCAGAATCTTCGATCTCACTACTCCCTCTCGAAATTACTTTACTTCCAACTTGTAGCAAAAGAGTGATAATCCCAACAACTAATCCATTTCCTATACAAGCATGAAAAGGAGCTAATCCACCGACTTCCACACCAAGTGTGAATGCTCCGCCAATAAAAAATGGCATCAACCAGAGTAGAATTTGACAAATATAAATATACCACGGTACTGCATACCCAAGTTTTAGATTCAGTCCACCGAAAAACGTCTGTGGGAGTCTTTTATATACAAACTCTTTTTTGTAATGATTCAACAGTGGAATATCTGATCCTGCCATTGTTGGATTATCCAATGGAAGATATCCCTTTATATCATATCGATCATAAAGATTTCATTGTCCGAAAAAAATGCATATTTGTAATGTGACGATGATAGATTATATTTATCCACATAAAAAACTTAATCATATCTGTACAAAAAAGATGTCAGGATAGAAAAAATTCGTATGATTATGTACACTAAATAAACAAGGCTATGCAACTTCTTACATTTGGAATGAAAAGACTTGTTAATTTATTAATCGGGCAATTGGTAGGCGCTAGCAACACGTCGTGCAAATAATATTAGATATTTTTATTTACCCCAGTTTCATGTTTTGATTAGACCTAGCTTGCTCTTGATTTCATTGATTGCAATTTGACGTAAAATACTCTTGCAGTCAGGCCATTACATTTCTGAAAGTAATATTTATATTTACAGAATTATGACGAACCTGCTTCTCAAAAAAGGCAGAAATTGCTATTGGGTTTTAGCATTATATCAGTAGGCTATATCTGTATATGGCAAAGTACTGTACAGAAGTAAATTAGTCACCCATGCAATAAAACAGAACAATACATACTGACATAGGCTAGGTATTAATTAATCCCTATGTCCAATCTGTCCGTCTCTGGTCCTTCAAAAAAGTTAACTTACAGACTTTTACAAGTTCTATTTCAAAAACAGTTCTTTTTTAATCAAACTAACAACACTGCGACAGGCAGACAGGCCCCTCATTTCAGAAAATATAACTGTATTCAGCAGCACCAAGTACTATGTCTGTATGTGGGCGGCATTACCATGACACTCTTCACATAAATTAAAGAAAAACAAGAACGGGTTTGCCCTGTCGCTGAATATCACATTCCACTGGTGCAAAAACGGGTTCGCGTTAACCCCGTGAACTGGTCACTGTTTCTACGTTTTCCCTGCATTTTTAGACTTTTCAATTACATGTTTCACATGACCTATCCAAAAGTTTGATGTACCAATGTTAATTCTCATTCGCCTCGATTGTTGTAATGATCGGACTACTAAATTATGGTTGCTATGACCAATGAGAAAGAACATGAACCACAACAAACAGTGAATTTCCGAACATAAAATACGCCTTCCATCAGACACTTCTCTGGTACTTTGAAGATTGTTTTATAGGCCTAGGCTATTCACAAATAAAGACTTTCAGGTGGTTTGTCTGCGCGCTCAACACCGAAAGTTTGAATAATGTATGATCGACTTCGAACCACGCATTCTTTTGTCGTTTATTAATCCGTTCCCGATGCTGTGGCAAGAGCAGAGTATTTCTTCAAAATGATTACGTAATCGCAAATTTATCTCCTCTTGCGTTGGATTCAAATGAATAGCACTAACTGTATTGGTAAGGACCCAATAAATGTGAAAAATAATTGAAGTATGGTACCAAGATTGCTGATTATGAAAATTTGACAATGATGAATTCAGAATCAGTTTTCGGTCGAATCGTAGGATAGGATAGGATTTACATATTTATCCCGGGGGAGAGGAAAGCCGATAAGACGGCTTATCCATATGGCGAACCACGGCCTCTCGTTCGGTTACCATTCCAAGTCGGGTATGGGATTAGATTTACTGTATTGATTGTTTTCGGAAGCATGGACTTGTTGGTGGAGGAAGCCGTAACCGACCAGCGGTTACGTGAACCACCCAACGACGGCGAGGAGTCCAGCAATCCTCTCGCACATAACCATCCCTGCATGGGATTCGAACCTGCGAACCCACGCAGAGTAGTTAGAGGTGCGGTGGCGAGCGTATTCCTAACGCTTAGCCCGTTGAGCCACACCGCCGTGCCAATGTATGTATATTCAACGTCATCGAACAAATGCGCAGTTGATGCTGTCTTTTTTTTGTGATATCTCAAAGTAGAATTTGCACATCGAACGCTGAAAATTTGTCACATAATAACATTTAATAACGGAATCGCGTTTTACTAGATGACTAGATATATGTCCGAAGCACGACGCATATCTCTTGCAGCAGGACGATCATGAAACTATCCCGATTCGTGAATAATATAGAATAGTTTCCCAAACCTTTTTGGCCACGGAATGCTTTTTATTTGGCTTCGCAAAACACCAGAAAATAAAAGGGAAAAATTGATTAAAGAAAAATGGTGCAATGCAACGGTTCCAAAAGGGTGCGCCGTGGAGAGTTTCTAAATGCGCCGCAAGAACTAGCAGAAATATGTTAAACATGACTAAAATACAATCGAATACTTTACATATAGCATTTATTATAAATTTTTCGATGTTTTTTTCTTATTTTAAATGCTGTTTATACCACTAGTGTTCCGCGGAACACAGTCAGCGGCGTAACTACCCATTGGATCTTGTGGATAAAGCCAGGGGCGGCACGTTGTTGGAGGGCGGCAAAATGTGGCAAAACGTTCTAAACGAAGCGGAAAAACGTTTTAAATGAATTAAACGACCTAATTTACCAATGAAGGCCAAAAAATTACACAAGATATACGTCTAAACCAGGTGTTTTATGGCTCGTGGCCCCCTTCCAGCGCCTATTTGCACTTGCGGTCTCCGTGTTCGCCATTCCAAAAAACGAAACGTGTTGGATTGTATTATGTGTTTACGACCTATTATGGAATGCAAAAGCAAACCACAGACAGAAAAGTAAACGCTCTCCAGTATACAATCAAAGGGAATCTTGCGCTTAGAACTGTCTGACGAGGTTTATCATATTAGGCGCAGTCTTTTTTATAGCTAGAGTGCTGCTAGACGAATGTCAACATCAAGACGGTTTATAAATTTTGTTTTTGTGGTAATAAAAATTGGCCGTTGCTCTGACAGAAACCCGAACTTAGTCAATGTGCGTTCCTGTCAAATATAACTGGCTTGGCAGCAAAGAAACAGTTAGCACAAAAGATAGAAAGGACCAAATTATGAACCTTCTTCCAGTATTAGTATACAGATAATTAGAAATTTGGTTTGCAGATTCGAACCTTTGATTTATCTTATGCGTCTTGTCGCCGATTGCACAACTCATTTTTCTCGTGAAAAAACTAAACTAAAATGAACCACGATTAAAAACAGGATATCATACTACTTGCACAAATATTCACACATTCATTAGTTAATTAAAGCAGCACGTACGATAGTCCCGATGAACGCCTCCCATTGAGGCATGAATACACTTGCTCCGAATAAACGCATCATGTTTTACGTAACTTTTTCGGAGTAATTAGCCTCGTCGTGGGTTGCCAAGCGTGACGTCGATAATTAGGTAAGATTCTGATCCACTCGATCCTCGCCAGCAGTGTTGGCTCAGGGGAAGCGTAGGGACGTGGTCAAACATCAGGCAAGGTATGAGTCTGGATTCGAACCCCACAAGGTAGACGTAGTTGTAGAGAAGGACCAACAGACAAGGCAGGTGACCGAGGTGCAAAAGGGAGCCGGCGAGCAAGCAAGAGCAGCGGCCGACAGGCAAATGTAAAGAGAGGAGATACATACCAGAGTCAGAGAGGACATGGTCAAACATCAGATGAGGTTGGGTTCAAACTCCACAGGTTAGACTGGGCTGTAGAGAACGACCAGTAGACCAGCCGAAGAGCAAGCGAGACAGAAGGACCAGTAAGTAGACAAAGCAGGTACGGTCGAGGTATATATAAAAAAGGAGCCGACGAGCAAGCGAGAGCAGCAGCAGCAGCTGGACAGTAAAGAAAGTAGATTATAAATAAATACTACATAAGGACATGGTCAAACATCGAACCCAACAGGGCAGACTGACAAAAAAGGTGGTGTTAAAAGAAGGACAGTCCCAGCCCCATACCACACCCCCAACCTGATAGCGCCGGTGAGCAAGCCCAAGCAACAGTCGACAAGAAAGGTATGAAGGGTTGGACCAGCAAACCCAGTCCGTAGTCGAGGTGTTGTAGTAAAAGGAGTCGAGGTGTTGTAGTAAAAGGGATAACCGGATTTATTGAATGGGGGAGGGGGCCGACAGAAGTTAAAGGAAGGACAGTCCCAGCCCTGGAAAAGGGGTTCAAAACCCACACACACGTAGAAAAAGAAAGTAGATAGATAAATAAATACTACATAGAGGACATGGTCAAACATCAATCAATTTGGTTCGAACCCCACAGAGCAGACTGACAAAAAAGGTGGAGCAGGTAGAGAAGGACCCCAGTAGTATGTAAAAAGGAGACGAAAGGGTTAGTTCAAACCCCACACCCAACCCAATGGGAAATGTTAAAAACGGGATAAAATAATATTCGCGGATCCAGACAGGTTCCGCTGATGGGCAGGCAAGATGACAAAAAGCAGCGTTTTGAAAAAGTAAAAAATAAATAAATACAGCGAAGTTTTGAAGGGAAAAATATCAGATTTCACACCAAATTCAGAAATAAAAGTTAAACTTTGACGCTTCCCCCTCCGAAAATAATACAGCGGAACTTTGGAGGAAATATTAGATTTCACACAAAATTTAGAAAATTGGTCCAGTATTCGAAAAGAAAAGCGATTTTTTAGTGATAATGATTAATATTAAAACGACCGTTATGTCCACTAACGTGTCCAATGAATAAATAACAAAGATCTGCGAGAGGCCTTCGGGAAAGTTATTAAGATGGAATGTAATAAGAAAATAATAATTCGTGCAGGCTGGCTGGGACCAGTGGGCGTTAGTTAGTTGAAATATAGGACCGACTAACCTACAAGCAGCTGGATTAAAAGACCTAAGGAAAAAAGTAAGATGGAATGTTAAAGAAAATCTATCGAGGCGGCTAGAACAGAACTGTTTCCCACCAAAAAGTATTCGTAATTTAGCCTTGAAATTAGTAATGAATACGGAAACTTTAGTGTTTTAAATTCAGATAATATAAAAAAAACACCTGTTACATTATTATTATTTTCACTTGTAGAAGACTAGAAATATGATAATTTGACCCTAAAGGCGAGACTTACCTTTCTTTCAAGCAGACCTACGAGAGAAGCTAATAACTAGGGTTGATATTTCCAGTCACCGCGCCTTTTCTTTAATTCATTTTGATTTTCAGCTTTAATTTTTGTTCAGACTGTCCCGTGTACCTACAAATACCCTTATTTTTTCACTTACTTGTTGTATGGCCTTCGCACGCGAAACGTGCAACTATTTCTCCGTGTAATACCCTGTTTCCCCGAAAATAAGACTGGGTCCTATTTTAATTTTCTCCCGAAAAATAACACTAGGGCTTATTTTCGGGGGACGTCTTACATCTTCATTTATCAAAAACGAAATCACAAAGCAGAGAATTATCAGATTTTTGAATATACAAAATATGAAAATCGATATCCATTTACTTATTAATAACACGTTTTTATTCAAAATACCTGCAAAACATAGATTGTAAATCCCATGCTACTAACGGTAACCCTTGGATTCAAGCTTTTTCAATCTGCGATATACGTCATTCCACGCTTTCTTCAGCCGCGAGAATTCCGTTCAGCCAAACAATGTCCGTGAATAAACGCATTGTTACTGAAGGGTACATAATAGCGGCCCTCATACGTTGTATTGGCGTCACTGTATGGATCGGTCGATTCAAGGCAGAAATGAGTAGTTAAAATTTTGGGCAATCAGTGTTGTAAAGTCATTTTTTTACTCAGTCTATAAATACTTTACCAAAGAGATTTCACGCATACCGAATAAAATACTTGGAATTCTCAAGAGAAACCCTCTAATAAAGATGTAAAAAAGATTCATATCGAATATTCAAGTTTTATCATGCCCACCTTTCCTTTTGCAGGCTACTGTAAATGGTTATTGCATTATGTTCATGGTATCTTGGATACCGTTTAAAAAACAAACATCATTAAACAAAGTATACAATTATAAATGTATTTATGTAAAACTCGAATTCACGTAAAACATAATATACAATATCTACCACCCAACATTTCCTAGTACCAGAGCCAGATCATGCCTTTTGGAGACCAAAAGCCAGCGGTTCCCAACCATGGACGCCATTGAATATTCGTGTATGTAAATTTCTGCGGTGCCCCCTTGCCATTGGTACTCTAAGCATGTGTTAATTTTGCCCGATGATTAATCCAGCAGACAGTTGGACAGTAATATAGCTATAAGCAATTGTCTGGCACTTTCATCCAAAATGAAATCGCACTATTCAGCGGAAAATCGGGGTGCCTTGTTTTTGTTTAACAGAATACGAAAAGAAATTTATCTGGGGATTTACTAAAGATTATTCTTCAATTCGATAGTTTTGTTAGGTCTGATTTTTTGAAGATAGTAGCAACAAACATATCTGATTGAAACGATTCATACAATGAAGCAATTGCACAATGTCAGGAATATGGAACAAGTGAAAAATTGTGCATATTTCAAGTGAAAAAGAAAAAGGATTAAAAGCATGATTTAACATTTGGGTGAGAGAACAAAAAAAAATGTCTAAAATATAATTTTATACATCTCTCTAGATTTGAGAACAATATTTTTATAATAAATTTCAAGCAAAAAAACATATTTTGACCCTATATCAATAATACAAAGAAACAAATTCACATAAGAACGTGACATAACCAATTTTCAATACCAAACGAAAATACAAATGCATAAAACAACTTTGGGTCTGGGATATTCGTTTATTAAGGTTTTCATTTTTGGCAAAATCCATACAACACAGCTTACATACATATGCTAGCAAAAAAATTATTTTAAAATATTTAATGAATGCATGGTGTTAATGCAGTTATAAACAAATAAAATACTAAAATAATGAAATTTGAAAAGTACCTCCTTTCTAATACCAGCTGTGAAGACAAAAATTGTTTCAAATATAGCGCACTTGTTGTACCAGTTGACATATTCTCTTCAAGGCAAAACAAATCATATAAACCTACCGATATAAAGAACAAGAGGTGCATTAAACAATAATCCAAGTACACCAAATGAAAAGAATCCATATCTTTCCAACAAGAATCCACCGATAGTTGGTGCAACAGTTCGAATCAGGGAGTTTGTTGCCATGCCGATTCCAAGCATTGTTCCTAGAAATTTGAATACAATATTTTACATTTTTATTTTCAAGAGGAAATACAGAACATTAATCTGAATGAAAATTTGAACACAAAACATGGAATCCATCTGTTTTTACATTGAATATTAGGCAGATTAATGGATGATGCCCTGTATGAATATGCTTTACCAGTGTCAAATCCACGATATTACTTAATGTTTCAATCTGATGTCACTTCTTATTGCAACTGAATCTAGTTTATACAGTCTTTGCAAATAAAACCCCACGGAGATAAAGTTTAAATATTTGTACTATATTTCTTATTCTATCCCCGCCATTTTGAATCTCAATTTACCGGTCCACTCATTGTACCAATTGAATGTGCATATATGGTTGTACACTACTACAAGAAAATCCTAATGCATCGTGTTTTGTATTACAAAAAGGGAATAAATTACATTCTTGAAAAGTTAGGCTTATATAAAAACTGTGATAGCCTATGATATTAAAATAACTATAGCAACATACAAATCCAATAAAAATGTTCCTTCAACCATACCACTGGCTACTAAAAGGTTAAAAATAGGAAACTGGTCTAATGTATACACCTGTGTCTTGGGGTTCCACTGATTTGGTAAGCATTCCACTCATGACCGTTGTGAACACTGCACCAGCTACAACCATTGGAAAAAGAGCAACGCAGAATGATAATACTTCTGTGACGATGGTCAACAATAATACATATGATATGCATATTGTAATGATAGATCCACTTATAATTGACCATTCTCCATATCCCAAATTAGTTATTCTTCCAACAATCAGGCCTTGGCTGATCTAGAAGTAGTAGACATTTTGATTATCAATGAGAAAAAAAATTCCATTTCCTTGAATGCTTTCTATTTTCAGGCAACTAGTTTACTTTGAACTCAATGTGAAACGCAACACCAACAATATATATTCACGGTGTATAAGAATGGGAATTTTTAGTATTTATTGATGCGTCATAATAGTCTGAACTGAATCGTATGGAATTTCCAGAAACCAATTCTATATCATGAATCATTTAATGCTATATTTAGATTTTGAATTTGTTTGTATATATTTTCCATTCCACTTTTGATCAATAGCTGACTGTAATTGTCGTGTTACAAGTTTTTAAATTTTGAATGAGGTCCTATGGAATCACAAACTTTCTAAATATGGGAGTATTTCATCATAAATTGAATTTTGAATTAAAACAAATAGTTTTAATAAAAGAATTAAAATAACATATTATGGATGGGCCCTAAAATAACACACAATTAAAATAACAGACATACCATCGAAACAACACCGACATATGACAAAACATATCCATTAATTTCAGCTGAAAGATGAAAATGACTGATTGCCAATACGCTGAACATACTGTGCAAAACTCCAATAGGAATTCCAGAGACTGTTTTGATAAATAGAAGAGCACGAGCCTTAGGATTCTTTATTGCTATTCTGATTATTTCACTGATATCAAAAACTCCTCTTTTATTTGTTTGCAATTCATCTTCCTCTGGAACATCATTCTTTTTGTCCATCTAAATAGAATCAAATCATTGTGATAAAATCATATTCATATACCTTGAAAGTTTAATTGCATTGTGTTTTTTGTTGGGTATCATAGTAAAGCTTATCCTTATTATTTGCCTGCGAAGTCGTAATTTGAAGTTTTATGTGAATCTCAAGTGATTGGCTTCATTTTGCAATAAGCACACTTAGAACAAAGCCTATTCAATACCCATGACATGACTAGGGTTTCTCGAACTGGGCTCTGTGGCCCTGTGGCCATTATCCCAAATTGAGCCCCAGGCTAGCCGGGAGGGCTACGAATTTTCAGGAGACAACAAGCAAAAAAGGTTACTAGGTAGTAGATGGCATTAGCGATGACGGCATTATGTGATATGCAAACTGTAACATTTTTTAACGAGTATTGAGTATCATGAGAGTTTGAGAGCCAATGCCCACTACCATTTAGTCTTGAATATAAATATAGGTTCTATTCCATTCTACTTACATCTTTTTTTAACTGACTAAATATCTTTGTATCAACAGGAAGAAATAGAAGAATCAATACAAAGCTGACTGCCGACCCTGCAGCAGCAACAAATGCAGAAGTTTGTTCGCCTGCGTATTTTGTACAAAGGCCACCGACAATTGGCCCAATCACCATTCCAATTCCATACGATAATCCAAGTTTTCCAAGCTGAGCCGATCTGGAATTCGGGTCAGATATATCTGTCACTACCATCTGTGCCCCTGTTATTAAGTTACACAATAAAAGATAAAGCATCAAAAAATGGTCACCAAAAGAAATTTAGATTGTCATCAAACATTTTTTATCCAATATTTTCATTAAAAGATAACATTTCAGCAACAGCTTTAATTACAAATTACTCAATTCAAAAATACAGAATGATGAATGTCCAATATAATTGCATTGAAAAAGTAAACGAGAAGAATATTAAAAAATATCTACCGTGCATTGCATGCATGCATACTGATGGAAGTCTGGAGAGAAACACCATAAAGACAGTTGTAGCCAGTCCTAGCAGAAAATAAGACATGAATGCAGCGAAAAATGCCAAAAGAAGAGCATATTTACTCCCGAAGAGATCACCGAATCTGAATAAAAAGTTGCGACAAGAGTAAATATGGAGCCACCTTCTGTTTTAGGCATCTTGGACATGTTGTCATAAATGTTAATTAGCTTCGAAAAAGGGTCATATATTACATTGATGATATTACGAAAACAAGTTTTTATTTGACCAATATCAATGAAAAAGGAATATTCATGCAAATTACAATTTGCTAATATTTACTGAATTATCACATGACCTTGATTTAAAAAATAAGCGAGTCATTTTGAAAATATTTTTCCTCAAGAGAAATAAAACTAAGAATACAAGATGAATGTATTACCTAGTAAATACATATATTTTTAGGAAGAAAGAGATACATTCAACACTGAAGAACAAACCTCATTGCAATAGGAAAATATGAGCCACCCAGACATGAGCCACTATGTCTTATTTATCAGCAAATGATACAATGATTCAGTTAGGCGTGTACTCTGGTATTGCTGTGCCCAGAATTAAAAATGCATACCTTCCATATATAGGCCCCCCTAAAAGTTGAACTGTTGCAAATGTTGTTTGAAGATATCCAAATGTGATTGGGTCAACATCTAGTTTCTTCGTGAGATACTATAAAAAAATAAAAATGAATTTTAGTAAAAAAAGATATCTACTGCTTCAGTTGTACATATTTTTCTTTAAATTACTAAAACACAATGTGATCCTACAGTCTTTGGCTGCAGCTGCCTTAATTCAGCAGCTTGTCTAACTAAGTAAATGTACCGCATTCAGGCATTGCAGCATTGGTAGCACACTACTGCACTAGCGACTAGGCCTGCAATAAATTTCTGTGATTATCATATTCTTAAATTTATGAGAGACAACTACATTAGGTACCCGTAAGTAGTATGTGACAATTCACTTTTTCAAACAGATGAATATGATGTTCTTACAGCTACAAACTGACCTTTGAGTTGCAGATTTTAGAAAATAGTCTATGCCTTCTATATGATATGACTAAAATCTGAAAATTACATGCTTTACGGTATGAATGCAACATGATTGATAGTGATAAAGATTGTCATATATTTGTATATCGAAGTGTTTACTCACCGGTAAAGTTCCAATTTGTATCCAAAAGCAGAGTGCATACAGGGAAACGTTGACATGCGTTATAATGCGGACAGTTTTACCGCTGGAACTAACGGCATCGGCCATCTTGGTTTTAGCCAGAACGGTGCCAATATTGGTATTAAAACTGTAAGAGACTAACCAATCAGGATGTATTATGGTATTCCGTGATAACGTTGCACCTCGTCTGGAATTCAGTCCTGATCATTCACTTTGGTCCCGATCAAAATAATAATAACTTGTTTATCCTACGTTCCACACGACTGCGTTCGCTAAGGCGCAGGCTAAAGCAGTGAGGTGAGGGATATCAACGATACGTAGCGTTCAAGAGAGCTACGGAGGTATAAACTTCTTTAAAAACTTAAAATATTGAGGTACGTTAAATATGAGACCGCGCTGAATAAAACAGTTAGGTTACTGGAAGTTGCCTTCTTCACAACCACTCAATGGACCCTTCCCCGCAGGTGCAGTTTTAAGTATTTTGTGGCTTCTGTAGCTGCCGCAAAACCATGGTGGTATTTCCCTACCATGGCCGCTACGGCCAAACCTATGGCGACTGAATTTTTAGCTGCCACAAACCAATGACGAGCTGCCGTTACCGCGGCAGCAAATTGAAAACCAATGGCAGGTAAAATTTTGCTGCCGTAACCACGGCAGGTGGGCCGTAAAGACAGTGCTGTCCCTTATGGTGACAAATATTGGGTAAGTTGGAACGTTTTTCTTATCAACACAGTTTTGATGGATTTGGGGGTAGGGTTGGGGTTTAAGTAGATATACCTTCACATGGTCAATTAAAATCTGGTACATTAATTTGTGAATATACCGCTAGTACAGATTACTAAATACTGAATAGCGCTATAAAACCATGGCAAGAGCTGCCGCGGTTCGTTCGTGGCAGGAGCTGCCATGAAGTGGTAAGAACTGCGCCTCCTTCCCCGAGCACCGACTTCTTTGTTTACTTCGTGACAATGGCCAATCAGCAAGATGCAGAAAGGTACGTAACAATGCTCTCTTTTCTCATTCAGACAGATTTTCAAGTGTGGTCGTAAACATTACCTCGTGGGGGTTTTGAACTAGTTTTCAGTTGTGTTTCGGAAACTTAAACATTTATTAATCAGATAATTGAATGATCACTCTGTTTTACTAGGAGTTTCAATTTAAGTGCAGTAATATAATATTAGTGTAGAAATAACTGTGATAGACTAAGCTAAATTCTTCACTGGTACTTTTAAAAAACAGATTGTTGTATGCGATGAATCATAATGATGGTTTGTAACACATGCCCCATTTTACAGGCGCCAACTCACAAAAGCACTCTTAGAATAGCCCCGAAAATTTTGCAATGGTTAAGTATAGGAAGAATTTTTAGGAGGTCAAAAGTCGGGAAAGGTCCATAATGAATTCGGTACTCTCAACTTCTCTATCACAAAAGAAGAATATTGGTTACAGTTTTAATTTACAAATCTGTACACATGAATATATCAGTGGCCGCGCGTCAATAGGGCCAACCGGGGCGATGCCCCGGTTGTTTTTTCGGTATAATAAAAAATATTCGAAAAATACCTCAATATCGGTTGCACAGACTGTCTACCTACACTAGCCATATTCTCCCGACATGGTTCATTTTTCGCTCGCAAAGCCTTCGCCAAACGTCGACGGGGCGACACCGATTTTGCCCCGGTTGCTCATTGTATATCGTATTCTCTCTTTTATCTTCCACTCGCCGCGTTTGTCTCGTTTGTTTTCTGTTTCTTTTACTAAATCATCCGGGCCGATCGGGGCTAGCCCCGAAATTATGACGACACAATGCCAACGTTTCTTACAACAACGTGTTGACATGTTCACGCATTCCTTCTCGTTCGTTGGTTGCTTGAAGAGTTGATAGTTCCTCGCCTTCGTTTTTGTCGCTTGTTTCGCTATTTGAATCAGTTAGACACCTTTAGTCCATTTGCTTTCGATTTTCCACATTCCTTTTGAGCTCCTCACTTCTTTCCGGCTTCGCATTTCTTAGCCTTAGACCTCATAATGAATAAGGTTGATGCGCTACTTCGCACTCCGTTTTCGCAGCTGCCGCTGGAACAAAAATTAGAGGTACAACGTCTTGGGCCTTATCAACCAAAAAATTGTTCACTGGAACAATCCCATGACGGAGAAAAGCGTCGGCGTACATTCTGCGCAGAAACTTGGTATGAAAAACACGAATGGTTGTGTTACAGCGAGGACAAAAATGCACTTTTTTGTTTTTATTGCCTACTTTTTGCTACCGCCCGTGACTCACGTTGGTGTAAATTTGGTTTTAGAGATCTTAAACATCTTTCCAAGCGTGCCAGGGATCATCAATCTTCTCTGGAGCATCTGGACAATGCAGTAAAATAACGAACATTCGGAAATGTTAATATTGCAGCACAGTTGGATGAAGGACGCGCGGTTTCTATTCGTCGGCACAACCTAAACGTCTAGAAAAACCGCCATGTTCTCGGTCGATTGATAGATGTTTTGAAGTTCATTGGTTGTCACGAGCTGTCCCTCCGTGGGCACGGTGAACGGGCTGGCTCTTCTAATAGAGGGGTATTTTGGATATGGTGGAATACACCGCATCCCTAGATACAGTATTGAGAGATCATCTTGATGCCGCAACTGTTTCGAAAGGGACATCTAAGGATATCCAAAATGATTTGCTCGACTCAATGTATAAAATTTATTTACAACATTTGGCTCTGGAAATTGAGAATTGCCAGTTCCTTTCGATTCAGTCTGACGAGACAACTGACATCACGTGCGTTTCCCAACTGGCTGTGATTTTTCGGTTTGTGAAAGATGGTAAACCTACCGAGAGATTTCACAGCTTTATACCAATCGTTGATCGCACGGCTTGGGATATCGGCTGTACTGAAAGAAGTGTTACAGCCTTACAACGCGAAGTCAAAATTGATAGCTCAAACTTATGACGGCGCGGCAGTCATGAGTGGGTCGAAACATGGTGTTCAAGTTTATATAAAAGAAGATTTTCCTCATGCGCATTTTTTACATTGTTATGCACACCAATTTTACCTCGTTATTAAAAATATGTGTCTTGATACCCCGCTGGTCCGTATATTTTTTTGCAAATGTTTCGGGGTTTTCTTCATTTTTTTCCGTTTCGCCGAAGCGCTCTGACCTCCTTCGCCAGATATGTAGCCGCCGTCTCCCAGCTTGTGCATCAACACGTTGGTACTTCCAATCACGCGTGGTGCAGGGCGTGTCCGAAATTAGGTCTGAGCTCATTGAGTGTTTCAATGGCATTCAGAGCTCTCCGGTTTGGGACGAACGCTCTGTGAAGGAGGCGGCAGGTCTAAAGCGTCTGCTAGAAGATGGTGAGTTTTCATTTTTTCTCGCTTTTTTCTCCACTATATTCTATCACGTAGATGTATTATACGGCGCATTGCAGTCAAGGCTAATGGATGGAGCGTCTGTGCAGTCGTGTATTTCAGACTTCTGCGATGCTGTATCTCGTATCCGGGAAACAATAAAATACGACGACACATGGAGTGCTTCTTTACGCCGCGGGCAAACAACGCAGCGTTTGATTTTGTCTGCAAAGGAATGCTGTGACATTCTGGTGAATCAAATAGGCGATCTTCTGCGCACTGAACACCTTGCCGCGTTCTCTTTGATGAACCCCAAAAATTTTTCAAAATTTGCACGTCAATTTCCCATCCATTTGTTGGCTACTGTCTCCAAATTTTACCCCATGATAAACGTGGGTAAATTGGAAAATGAATTGCGATGTATATACACCAATCAAACTTTTTTGAACATCACATCAACTTGCGCGCTCTATGGGTTCCTCATAGATAACAATCTAGTAACTACCTTTGCGGCGTCTGCAAAATTTCTGGACATCATTTTGACGACGCCTATTTCTTCCGCCGACGCAGAGCGAACATTCAGCACGCTGAAGCGTATTAAAACGTATCTCAGAAACACAATGAAGCAAGATAGATTAAATTCCTTGGCTGTTTTATCCATTCACAGAGACGTTATTTCTGGGATGCATGACTTTAATCAGCGCATAATTGAGCATTTTGCTTCCAAGAAACCGCGGCGTGTTGCATATATGTTCAAGCAGTAGAAGTCTAGCAGCATATATATCTATGAGTGAGCGACGCATGTCCTTATCTTTGCATTAACTTTCCTTTCTTCATAGTAACGTTTTAAACCTTATTTTAGGTTTTGTCTGCTTTCCCAAAGTTTCTGTTAATATGTCATTGTATTTATCTGGGTAAATATTGCGTTTGTTCATATTTATTAATCCCTTGACTTGGACCGGTTTTAAAGACACTTTCTTATCGTTAAAAATTGTCGCTTTTGCCGATTGGTTGTTACCGATGGAATGGTTTTTATACTCATAAAATGATGGGAGAACTTACAGCGCTCATCCTGTCCCCGTAGATGGGGGTGACTTGGTCCCGAGGTAGCTTGCCCTGGTTGTCAAAATGACCACGCGCCGCCACTGGAATATATATATACTAATCATGAAAGATAAACGTTGAACACTTGAATATATTTTAACATTCCAGATAATGAATATTTTAGAGCAGGGGTTCTCAACCTGGGGTTCGCGAACCTCCGGGGGTTCACGAGAAGATTTCCAGGGGTACTTGAACGGCAGTTGAGTTTTCATGTGTTGCTATTTTTTTTATGTCCTTTACTATCAGAGGAAATTACGTGGATTTTCCCTGATCTTGCGTTGCTGTGACTCAACAATGTGAAATTCACAGCTTTGTAGCCAAACTGTGAAGTCTCAAAAGACAATGTGTTTGTTTGTTTGTTTGTGTGCTGTTTGCTCCTCGAATTGAGAAACTTATTCGCAATAAACAGAGACTAATGTTCTGTTTAAATAAAACGAATACGTTTGTTTAATATCAGTTAAAACAGTGGTTCCCAACCTTTCTGTCGGATCGGTAAAATTAAATAAAATGTAGCCTACTCGCGGATCGGCAAATAATTGAAATGAGTGGAATAGAAAATAATATCATATATTTGCGAAATGTAATGCAATGTCGGGCACTCACTGTGCTTCTAGGTAAAACCGGCACACTTGAAAACATTCCACATGAATAAAAACAAATAATGCCCGACCAAAAATTGAGTGCAGTGAATCAGTGGATTAAACTCTGTCCAGAATTGGACCTATTGTCATCGTTCATGTGGAAAAATGTCAAAATGCTTTGTTGGTTAACTGGTTTCATATTAATCCCTCTGCAGTTAATCAACGCCTCAAACAAAATGAATTTGCATTAAGATGACAAAGTCGTCGGTAACTTGGAATCAGGTTCACAGCTCTGCTATGCATCCCTTTAAAAGGATCTCTGCGGTCCATGTCGGCGAAAGAGAAATTGCATAATAAACAAATGCAACATCGTTTTTTCGGGTTCGGTAAGCGCTTGAAACGGCAAAAAAAAAATTTCTCGCAGACCGACAAA